CAGTCATGTCCAACTCTTTGCAACTCCATGGCCTGTAGCCCACCAGGCTCTTCTATTTATGGAATTCTCCAGGCAAGAATACTGGACTGAGTTGCCATTCCCTTCCTCAGGAGATCATTCCCACCCAGGTATGGAACCCAGGTCTCCTGCATTGCCGGCAGATTCCTTCCATCTGAGCCATCAAATAGAGGAGCTGTATATAGCACAGCAGGAAAGGAGGAAGATAGCACAAGAGATGAAGCTTGAGATAAGCCAAGGAAGAAGATCATGAGGCTTAGGAAGCCATTTTATCTTTGTTTGTTTGCCTCAGTAAATCTTCAACTCTTATTATGTGGTGTGGTAATTTTAAGCTCCTGATAACATTTGGAAGCCTCAAATGACTGATTGAAATATGAATTCCACTCAGTTTTGGAAATTTTAGAGCTGTGGTTGTCCAATTCAGCCTAAAAAAAGTTAAGGGGACTTAAAAATTTCTCATAATGGCCATAGATACTATACATTGTCTTTGATTGGGTCAATACATTTAGTTAGAAATGTTCCTGAAGAAGAATCATGATTTTAAAATAAAAATTGGCTACAGTCCCTGTAAGAGGGGTACCCTAAAAATATTTAGATAACTGGGATCCCAAATCTTGGAGGGTTTTCTCTAGAGTAAGAGAATAATTTTTAAGCAGCTCAAGTAACTCAAATAGCTCAGATAGCGTAAACAGTGCAAATAGCCTACAGGCCTAATATCAGCCAGTTCTAAGGGAACAGTCTGGTCCCAGAGGAGCCAGGCCAAAAGCTGCTCAGCACAGTTCCAATATAACAGCCCCTATTCAAAATGGAATGGGGCCAAAGGCTGAATCGGCATAGCTCCAGTGAAACATCCCATGTTCCAAAAGGAATGGGCCGAAAGCTAGCCAGTTCCAGCTGGAACAGTCTGATTTCAAAATCAGATCAAAGTGCCAAGTGAATACTCACATACAGAACAAGGCCTTAACCAGAAAGGAAGGAACCTTAAAATAGATACTGAGTAAAACCTGGAGAGCTTCAAAATGCAAAGTAGATGGAAGCTCAGATCCAGGAGAAAGACCCACCCTCAAACTCCAGGGTTGGTGAGAAAAGCAGTGAGAAGCAATAGGCTCAGTGTTGGTACCACACCTGTTGGCTCACCAGCTTCAGAGCTCTTGGGGGCTTTCTGGGGATCCTTTTAAGGGCCATTAAATTGTTGACCTACAACAAATAGACTACCAGTTATTTCTCTAGCAAAATAAAAAAAAGAATTTATTCAGGACCTGTGAAGAATTTCAATTTGGGATCTGCAACCATAGCAACATGTAAGTTCCCTGCAAAAATGAAAAGGAGAACTCTTCTAAAGGGGGAAACGAAGTTGGGAGGGCCACAGTGACCAAACAGTCCATGGCATTTCATTGGCTGAATTGGATGAACTCTTGCCAGAGAAGAGAAAATGTCTCTTCTTATTATTGGAGTCTGCTGTTGTATCAGGGTGTGAGGCTCCCCTATCTGATCTCCCAAGGNTCCAGGGTGCGGTACTTGCGGGTCCCATGCAACAAGGAGAGAACTCTTGTAGAGGGAGAAAGGAAGTTGGGAGGGCCCTAGGAAACAGTCCACTGGAGGAATTGAATGACTTTTCATTAGCTGAGTTATGACAGTCTCTCACTGGCTGAGCTCTTGCCAGACAAAGTGTCCTTCCTTTTGGGCTCTACTATCATTGTAGGGCAAGAGAGATTCCCCTTGTGGTGCCCCAGATCTAACTGAGATATTTTTGTTCTTTGTTTTACCAGTAGGAAGGGTCTAATTTTTCATGTTGTGGTCACCAGCTTTGTAAAAAATTGTGTTTTTGGCTGTGCTAGGTTTTTGCTGCCATGCATGGGTTTTTTATAGCTGCTGCCAGTGGAGGTTTCCCTCTAGCTGTGATGCAAGGGCTTCTCATTGAGGTGGCTTCTCTTGTTGCAGAGCACAGGCCAGTCATGCCTACATAATGAAGCCTTGGTAAAGAATCCATCTGTCAATGCAGGAGATGTGGGTTTGATCCCTGGGTCAGGAAGCTCCCCTAGAGAAAGAAATGGTGAGCCACTCCAGTATTCTTGCCTGGAAAAATCCCATGGACAGAGGAGCCTGGTGGTCTGCAGTCCATGGGATCACAAAGAGTCAGACATGACTGAGTAACTAAACAACAACAGAAAACCCAAAAGAATAGGATTAGGAGACATCCAAATCTCTAATTCTAAATTGGTTCTCCTGGCAACCAGCTGTCAGTTTAAGAGTTATCCAGAAGTCACACCATTAACATAACAATATGGTTAAAAGGGGCTTGTTATGAATAACAAAAGACACCATTTTACCCATGTAGCTCTAGAACTATTCAGGAGCTGGAAACAAAACTAAATACTACAACAAAAGTTGTTCCATTGACTCTTGTAATTTCTCCTAGAAGGGTTTTAAAAGCTATGTGTTAGGATGAGGATTAAGATGGAATGCATATTTTTATTATGATAATCACAAGGCTACCTTTGCAAGGTATCAATGTAGACTTTTCAAAATGTCCTTGGTTCTTCCTTCCACAAAGGGTTCAGCAATAATTCTTAGAGATACCCCCATATCAGAGGCTGGGATGCTCTATTGTACATTTTAATGTTTTTTTCAACCCACATTTTAAAAAACCTTTACATAGTTACATTGATGTAATTATTTCTCACTCTAGTCAAGAAGTGTGCTTAGGTTACATTTTCTTCTCTATGGCTCTAGTATTGTGACTCCTTTAGCATTCAGAAAACAATGTTCTTTCAGAATGGTATCATAAGGAACTCTAAGGACCCTCTAAGTACTGGTGAAACAACTGTACTGGTAAAAAATCATTTTAGGAAGCAATAATAGAAATTGTTTTAAGGGCATAACTCACTTTTATGTGGAATCTAAAAAAAAAAAAAAGAACATTTCCAAAGCAGAAACTGGCTCACAGACTTTGAAAACAAACTTAGGGTTACCAATGAAGAAAGTTGAGAGAAATAGGAGTTTGGAATCAACTCATACACACTACTGTGTATAACATAATCAACAAGAACTTACTTATAACATAGGGAACTGTACTCAGTACAGTATTCTATAATAGCCCATATGGGAAAAGGATCTGAAAAGGAATGGATATTGTATATGTATAAGTAAATCACTTTGCTATACACCTAAAGCTAACACAACACTGTAAATCAGCTCTACTCACATATAAAATAAAATTTTAACTAAATTTTTAAAATATTGGAAGTTTTGTTAAGAAGCAATTAAGAGAATGTAGGTAACTTTATGATAGACAGACCAAACAACAGGGCAGTTACTATACCAGAGAGAACCAGGGAAAGAGAGACAGCTAAGGAAAGTCCTCTTTCCTTAGGAAAGGAAAGCTAAAGGGTCAGAAAAAACTCAAACAATGACCTCAGTTGCAAGAAGCTAGAGTTTAATTGCATCATGACACCAAAGTGTTTTATGCCCTAGGTTTCTTAGCCTCCAATTAAAATCAATAAATTAATTTTTAAAAAATCTTGATAAAAAAACAAACAAACAAAACAATAGAGCAATCACCCAGCAGTTAATGGAGCCTAACAACTGAATGTATGTGGTAATCCCTACAGCAAGTCCTAAGAAAATAACTGAAAATATCTATCAGTTTGGTTCAGTTCAGTTGCTCAGTCATGTCCGACTCTTTGTGATCCCGTGAACCGCAGCACGCCAGGCCTCCCTGTCCATCACCAACTCCCGGAGTCCACCCAAACCCATGTCCATGGAGTCAATGATGCCATCCAACCATCTCATCCTCTGTCATCCCGTTCTCCTCCTGCCCTCANCCTCAAACTTTCTTCACTCTCTTTCATTCTTTTTTCTGATCTAGTCTTCTGACTGGATAATTTCAAGTGACCTGTCCTCAAGTTCACTGATTCTTTCTTCAGCTTAATTGAACCTAATGTTAAATCCTCCTACTGAATTTTTTTACTTCAATTATTGTATTCTTTAGTTCCAAATTTTCTGTTTTGTTCTTTTTAATATTTTCTTTTTTGCTGATATTTTCATTTTGTTTATGCATCATTTTCTTGATCATATAGAGTATCTTTATAATGGTTATTTTTAATTCTCTGTCAGGTAATTTATATGCCTGCATTTCTTTAAGATTAATTTGATTAATTTTATTCTTTTGGGCCATGTTTCCCTGTTTCTTCATGTATCCCATAACTTTGTTTTAGGATCAGCACACTTGACATAAAAGCCACGTCTCATAGCCGTTATGGACTGGCCCTTTCTGCAGAAGACTTCTAATCAGCTTGACTGGAGATTCTGGGGGTCTCTGGAACCTTTTCTTAGAGGGAAGGGAATGCAAATTCTTTGAGGCTGTGTGTACAATTTCTCAATTAGGTAGAGTTGGCTGATTTCTTTTTCCAGGGACTCATAATTTTTTGCTCTACCTGGGGTCACTCTGTGGTACTGCAAGTTCTCTGGTTTTATAATGTGTGTTTATGTCCAGTTGTGTCTAGTTCTTCATGACCCCATGGACTATAGCCTATCAGGCCCTCTGTCCTTGAAATTTCCCAGGCAAGAATACTGGAGTGGATTGCCATTTTCTGTTCCAGGGGATCTTCTTGACTCATGGATTGAACCTGCATCTCCTGCAGGTCCTGTATTGGCAGGCAGATTCTTTACCACTGCACCACCAAGGAAGTCCTGGTTTTACAGTAGCAAGCTGCTATGATGTCCCTTGTTCTCAGAGGCCTCCAGATTTCTGCTGTGTGCTGACTCCCCATCAGCATCCTAAGTTAGGTGAGGCGGATACCAGCCCCTTCTGCACTCTTTTAAAGACCTTGAACACTAGACATATGCTCCTTTCACTCCTTCCAGAGGGAGAAGCCTCAGATTGTTCTCCTGCCCCTAACTGCGTTGAGCCGTCCTAGTCCCTGAAAGCCAGTTTACCCATTCTTCTTTGTTCTCAGTGGCACCAGGGCATCCAAACTGCAATGGTTCTGTCAGTGCTCCGAATTAGACAAGACAGATACCAGCTCCTCAACAGCCCTCTGAGGAGCTGGAATGTCAGACACAGCCTCTACTTTTCTCCTCACCCCCAGTGTAAAAAGTGCGAGTCGGGTTATTCTCTACCACTGCTGAACTGTGCCAGCTTAGAAAGGGGCTGAGGCAATCGAAGTGAAACTGCTCTTCTTGTCCATTTGAATGTGGCTTTTCGCAGCTTTGCACTCTGGTACTGCAACATCTTGACTAGATTCTAGAATTCTCATTACAGTATTTTGGTCCATATATTGTTAAATTGCAGTTTCTGTGGGGGAAAGAGAGTGGAATTTGCCATTCATCCATTTTGTGATTCACTCCCTCTGTGATTTACTCTTGGGCTCTATGACATTTGTCATTCTGAGAGTCCTTTCACTGCTTTCTGAGGTTGGAAGCCCACTTTCCTTCATCCCATATCTTTGTTTACTTACAAGTTATGCTTTCTAATTAATGACACATGCACAAAAAACTAAAATCTGCAAAGAATAAACTTTTTTTTTTATTCCTCCTTACATTTGATTTGATGATTTCACTCACTAGAGACCTCTAGGTCCAAAGTAATTTTGCCTTACAGTGTTGATGATATTGCTTAGAGAAAAGACTGAGGCTATGCTTGGAGTGGTATGTATGTAAGTCTCTAGCAGTTGGGGATGGATTTCTGGTATCAACTATTGTATAGTCGAACTTTAAACAAGTTCTCATGTTTTTGGCTCCAGCTGTTTACTCTGTTTCTTTAGATTTTTAATTTTAGAAAATATTCAGTGATTTAATGGTTTTAATGTAATTTTAATAATTCAATCTATTTTTTAAATGAAATTATTCTTTCTATTCATATATTATCTTTACTATATTTGCCTAGTGATCTAGTGACTCAGAGTCAAAGTTGAATGGGAATTTTCTTTCTTTTGATAGATTCTTAATAATAGTAGTGAAACTATTTTAATGCTGGTCAGAATTTAATTCTCTTTAAAGAACTGGAAACAAAAGAAAAAAGAATATCAACATGTTAGAGAAAAGCCTATTGTTCTTTTTTGTATTACATCAATTGAAAGTTAACAGTTTTATTACATCTTATGAAAAACCAAAAAATGAACCAGAAAATAATGATGATAATCATGATGATGATAGGAGCAACAATTAACAAAATGCATAAATGTATACATGCCATTTAATATATATCATGTTACATATTCGTTATAATAGCTCTGCTAGGTAGGCATTTCAGTCCTCATTTTACTTTATGAGGAAACCAAGGTTCAGAGTACTCAAATAACTTTCCCATGCCACACAACCAGTAAAGCACAAAGTTTTCTGACACAAGGCCTGTGTTCCGTGATTATGTACAACTAATCTGGGACTTGGGAACCTATAGATTTGAACAAATTGCATTAATGAATGACTATTACTGCCTCTCAAAGACCTTTGTTTCCCTTTTGCCATGTCTCCTCCCTCTGATACCACAGTGGTCACTGCAGCTACTCATAGTGGCTAATACTTCCTTCTCTCATTCCCTTAAAATCCTCATTAACAACTTTCTCATTGGAATCCTGTTTTTTAGTGCCCCAGTCCCAAGTGAGCCCAGGTGGGAATACATCCTTAGTGAGATTAGGAGCAGGCCTGTCTGTGTTGCTCAAGTCAAGTAGAATTTCTTATAATCATAAACAGTGAGTATGCTTTGAAAAATGAATGAGTTCTGATAAAAAAGAACAGACTAAAATTCCTGATGTAGAAAGAGAGACTGTAGCTCAGGCAAAGGAATTTATCAAGTAGAAACTGTAATATATTTTCCTAGAGAAATAATGGTAGTTAAGTTCTACAGTTCAATTAATATCACTAAAATAGTAGTCCAACCTATTTTTAAGTTTTGTAGTATATGTGGGTTAACCTGGGAGCCCAAATACGATTTTTATAAAATGCTTCTAGAAGAAAATGCTCTCTGAAGGGCAAATAATAGACAATGAATTTTTTTAAACAAACCATTTATAAATTGAAGTTAACATCTAAGACCATTAACTTGTTGATAATCTTGGCTTGTGTCTTCTCATTTACTCACACAGTTATAAAGAATGTGATATCAAAAAAAAAAAGAATGTGATATCAAAAGCTGTTTTTTATTACATAGTAGTAACAGTTGCCCAAATCTTTCCTATTCTTTCTGCTCTTACCCTCAGCATTCACCGTGTTACCTTGTATGTAGTTGTTGATTTTCAGTCACTCACCTTGTGTCCTACTCTTTGCAACCCCATGGACTGCAGCAGGCCAGGTTTCCTTATCCTCCACTATCTCTCAGAGTCTGCCCAAACTCACGTCTGTTGAGTCAGAGATGCCATCCAACCATCTCATCCTCTGTTGTCCTTTTCTCCTCCTGCCCTCAATCTTTACCAGCATCAGGGTCTTTTCTAATGAGTCGGCTCTTTGCATCAGGTGGTCAAAGTAATGGAGCTTCAGCTTCAGCATCAGTCCTTCCAATGAATATGGGGATGACAGAGGATTGATTTTCTTTTCTTACTGGTTTGCTCTTATCCTCAGCATTCATCTTGGTACCTTGCATATATAGTAGCTATTGAAAAAATTTTTGCATATTGATCACTTGATTTTTAATAAGACTATCACTCATCACAAAGAAAAGTATATCCTGAGACACACAGGGTTCTTACATCAACTTAGCTTTAATTTTAAATTACATAGCATAATTCTAAGTGATCTCTAGAATATGAAATATATATATAAACATATATGATATGTTTTTACAATATTAATAAAAATAAATTATAAAAATACATTTGGGGTGATGCTTATCATTTTTTCCTACTTGACTTATAATTCAGGGATAAATGGTTGGTGTAAGATTTAGAAAGCATCTTGATTTAAAAGGTCCCCAAAGCGTTGTGTTCTAAACTATACTTTAAAAAATTTCCTCTGACTGGAACAGAGAAGGAATGACCTCTCATTCCAGGAAACATTAAAAGTGCCCTAATGTCCTAGTAATATATCTATCATATGTCTGAAAATAGTGTGTTTTGGAATATTTAGGATGACCTAACTACTTGTCTCTCAGATGGAGGAAGGCTGTGACTGGGGAAGAAGGACCACTTACACATCTATTTTAAGTCTGGTCACAAAAAGATACTTACTTCATAAAAGGCACTGTTTTGTCTTTGCAGATGTAACTGTGTGGAACCACATAATCCTAGTAATAATACATTGAAGGAATGGAAGGAGTCCAATATTTCTGCCTCCGACATAATTTGGGAGAACCTAACTGTTTCGGTAAGTGAAACATGTCTTGAATCTTATTACTATAAGGTCTTTTTTTTTACATTTTGAATGAATTATTGCCACTAAAGTAAATTATTTTAAATAAATACTATTACAAAAGTGATAGTTTTATTTCATCCATTCAAATATGCATAAGTTAACTGGGGGTTTTCTTTCATTATTAAACTTTTCCAGTAGTTAGTAGTCCTGAATTACTCTAAAAGCACACATATATGGCATAATGTGACTAGATTAACTGAAAGCATGTTAAATAAGAGTAACGTTGACCTAAATTAAACCATATGACAGACCTAAGTCAGCCTCTGTGTAAAGAATGTTTTTACTTCGCTCCATAATACTGCTCCAGCTGTTCAGAATATGTTGAGGGGGAGGGGATGTTTGCTAGTATTTTGGTATAAATATTGAACTTTTGGGGAAAACCAAAGTCACTTTTCTTAAAATTCTGGCACCTCCCTCAGAAAGAGTTTTCTTACTTCCATTTTTCTCCTTATCTTCCTTTCATTTAAGGAAGAAAATGACAACATATTTTTCATCTATCCAAGTTAAATCTTATACCTTTAAAAATATTTCTATCTTTCCTTTTTTTAATATCTTTTTCCCCCCTCATAGTTGAATGTCTCTATTTTTCTTAATCTCTTGAATATTTGTGCACATCTATTTCCATCTATATTTACATCCTTTACTTCTGGTCAGTCAAATCTCATAATTGGAAAAATGGAAAGATTCTGCTTTTAATAAGTATTAAAATCTGAGTCATTCTAGTTTCTTTTCTATTCTTCTCAGTTACAAACATTACAGTCCAAAGCTTCTGCCAATTTACCTACCTGTATAAGCTCAAATCCCATTATAACCATCAGCATAAAACTATATGAATTCTAGTTCATTTTATGAGAAACACATTTTAGTATATGAGCCAGTTAGTGATACGCACAAACCTTTTTTTGTTGTACAATTATAAAACTCTAAACTCGATTCTTATAAGAACACTTGGCCTGTTGCCTATTTTTCTTACTTTTCCTCATTAAGTAATTTTTTCAGAATCAAAATTTTAAAAATTCTATCTTTGACCTATATTTTACTACCTTCCTTCTTACCCTAGTCATTTGCTCTAAAATGTCTTCACTTTCATTTTTTTTTTCTGTTATAGTTAACATTTATTCTGTTGTATTTTTCCTTAGAAAAAAGATTACCGAACTTTTCCCTTTCAGAGAGCTGTTTAAATTGACCAATAAAAGAAATGATGAGCTAAACAAGAAAGAATGCTACAGTTGTTCAGAATTTAGACATGGTTGATACATTCAGCAATGCATTTCCATTTATATTCCCCTTTTATAAACTATAAGAATATTATATTTTAAGAGTTCCTTGCTTTTGTCCCTCATCTTGGTGTCCCCTATAATACACTTACCCAATAATTTTATCTTTAAATTATTTAATGTGATAATTTAATCTATGTGTTTTATAGTCTTGAATAATTTAATGTTAAATAATAATGTTTATACCATATAGTAGCAAATCCTGAGTCGTAAATTTCTAAGACTCATAGCACAATTGATCTACCTAGGCATGAGTTAATTTTAAATATTAGAAGTTTTAGGGTCAAGCAGAGTATAGTGAAAAATATTTTGCAATCAAACAAAGCAAATCTAATTCTGAGGTTTTTTTTTTTTTTTCTTTGTTAAGTTCTGCACTAGGTGTTAACATTCTGGCAGAAATTTTCGTATTATTTTTCATTAGGTAAAAGCACTGTTTGCAATGAATAATTCCTAATCTTGACCAGAAATAGCACTTATCACCAAAGGGTATTCTACATAATGAAAAAAACTTACAATTTTAAGTCATTGAGGGCCATAATGATTTGTCTTAATTGTTATTCTATTTTTTTCTCAGCATAAACATCAGGATCATCAAAAGCATTTTATTAATTTTATTAACAGTGCTAATGGCTGTTATAACTAGTTTTGTAAAAATGGTCATGTGATATTTACTCTGTGTATTAGTCACTTGATAATTTTTAATTGAATTGTTACATATCTCATGAACTGTAATTTTTACCTTGCTAACTCGCAACGGTAAGAACTTTAGCTTTCTTTGATTCTCCCAAATAACTGTATGCATAGTAAGTGTTCAGTAAACATTTAATGATTATTTTGAAAAGCAATCTCAAATCACAGATTTACTGTTTAATGTATATGTCTTGGTTTCTTTTGTTTTCTAGCTTTATTGAGGTATAATTGACAAATAAAAATTATATATTTAAGGTATAAAATATGTTTTGATGAATGTATACAAGGTGAATGATTACCACAATCAAGCTAATTAACACACATATCACCTCACATAAGCAACCTTTTTACTTGGTGAAAACAATTAAGATCTACTCTCCCAGCAAATTTCAATTAGTTAATGCAATATTATTAACCATAGTCACTGTATTATACATTAGCACTTCATAATTTATTTATCCAGCATAACTGAAACTTTATTCCCTTCAACCAATATTTCCCCATTTTTCCTCTCTCCCTAGTCATTGGTAACTATCATTCTGCTCTCTGCTTCTGAGTTTGACTTTAGCTTCCACATGGAAGATAAATCACAGTATTTGTCTTTCTGTGTCTGACTTGTTTCAATTAGCATGTCTTACAGGTTCATTCATGTTGTTGCAGTGACAATGTTTCCTTCCTTTTTAAGGGTGAATGATATTCTACTGTATATTTATACTACAATTTCTCAATTAATTCATGCATTGTCAGGCATATAGGTTATTTCCATATCTTGACTATTGTGAATAATGCTTAATTCAAGTGTTTTATAGCAAGCTAGAGTACTTAGGTTTCTATGTTTATATATATATTTTAGCAGTATATCAAAATCTGTCATTATAAGGAATTCCTAGACAAGGTTTAAAATATTCACAGTCAATTAACTAGCAATTGGTTAAGAATTGTTTCAATGCCAGAATTACATATTTAGCTTATACATAAATAAGGGGCAGGACACTAATGCCAACTCTAATTTCTTATTTTATCAAACTTAATTTTTACCAACTTATAAAATTGTTGAAGCTTAAAACGTGTTGAAGAATAATTAGTAGAAATGAGTTTGTCAACAAGCATTTTTTTCATTTTTGTAAGTGAAACCATATGTGAGACTCAAAATAAGAGAACAGGATTTAGATTTAGTTTTCTCTTCCAAATCTCAGGACTTCGTGTGTGCATGTGTGTGTGTGTGTGTGTGTGTGTGTTTAAGGGTACAGTTGGTATAAACCAGAAAATAAATGTAGAATATAGTAGCTCACAATTTTTCCTTTTTAAATAACATACTGCCCCACTAAAAGAAAGAAAAATATACTTTTCAAATTTGCTTTGAATTAAAGTGACTAGGCAGGCTAATGGTAATGTATTATAACTTATAAGACACTTAAATAATTCTTTAAATGGTTTCTATATTATTAAGAATTGAGAGCAAGACTCAACCAAGTCCAAGACTTGGAAGACTTTTATATCTGCACAAAAGATTGAAGATGATCACAAATATATAGGTAATGTGTTTACAAAGGAACTTTTAGTCCTCTTTGTATTTATCCATTCTTCTTTTTTTAAATTTACTTTTAATTGGAGGATAATTGCTTTACAGTGTTGTGTTAGTTTCTGCCATGCAACAGCATGAATCAGCCATAAGTACACATATACCTGCTCTGTCTTGAACGTCTCCCCCAATATCCCACCTCTCTAGGTGATCACAGAGCCACAGGTTGAGCTCCCTGTGTTATATAGCAACTTCCCACTAGCTGTCTATTTTATACACGGCAATGTATATACTTCAGCGCTCCTCTCAATTCATCCCACCCTCTCCCTCACCCATTTACAGGTCCAGTCTCTATGTCTGGGCCTCTATTCTTGCCCTGCAGATAGGTTCATCGGTATCATTTTCCTAGATTCCATATATATATATATATATATTCCATTACTTTGCTTAGTAATTGCTTTACTAGTAAAGCTGAACAAGGGGCAAGAGAAGGGACTAAAAATTCCAAGGATTTGTTTTTGCTACTTTATCCATTTTAACAGAGTTTTGAGAGAAGGAAAAACTAAAGCTATAATTAAGGCTTGGGGATTTTTTTTTTCCAATTAGCAAAGTTTCTGTGCTCTCCATTAACTTAACATGGTTAATTGGAATTCAACTTTAGCTAGCAAAAAATGTAGCATTTGCAGTTAGATTAGAAAAAGGAACAGAATTGTTTTAGATAATATTAAAGTATACAAACAATATTTCTCAAAAATCCTAGCCTTACAGCTAAGTGTCCCAAGTGATTTTAAGAGTTTGTTTTTGGAAAACAAGGTAGCAGTCTGTGATTTAGTCTAGAATCTTTCAAAGGTATTTGTTTCCTGCCGTTCTCCAGGGCTTGAGGCTTTATTCATTGGACAGTCTCTGCTGGTGATCAATCTGGCAGTCCATATTTTCTCCTAAGATCTTTCTGTACCATGGTACAATTCAATTCCTAATTCATGTTCAGAATATCTCAAGTACCAGCAAGGTCACTGGATCACTTAAAGCATTCTTTTCTGTTTTGAAATAAAAAATTAAAATCGAATGTTCTAATCTTTAAAATGAAATGGTAAAACCCAATCTAATATGAGCTTTAAAAAAAAAAGTCTTAATTTCAAAATAATATTGTTTAAAATGCTTTTTTTTCCTCCAAGAAAGAAAAATTTTTTGACTTTGCTGCCACCTCATGGCTAAAACAGCAATTAGAAATGATTCTTCAGGGGCTTATAAAATATATACCAGAAGAAAAAAAAAAAAGATCATGAAGTCTGTTGTTGTTGTTGTTGTTGTATAGTCGCTCAGTTGTGTCTGACTCTTTGTGACTCCATGGAGTATAGTTTGCCAGGCTCCTCTGTCCATGCAATTCTCCAGGCAAGAATCCTGGAGTGGTTTGCCATTTCCTTCTCCAGGGGATCTGCCCTGCCCGGGGATGGAACCAGGGTCTCTTGCATTGGCAGGTGGGTTCTTTACCCCTGAATCACCTGGGAAGCTCCTGAAGAAGTCATAGTAAATATGAACTTTGCCCTCCCTAACCCTAACCCTAACCCTAACCCTAACCCTGCTCCTATAGTACCTTTTCTCTTTCGTTCCATAATTTAAGTTTGAGCCCCATCTTTGACTTTGGTTTCACTTCAGTAATAATATATTGTATTTTTTTGTTGTTGCTTTTCTCACCTTTCTTGGGAGTTTACTGCGACTGCTAAGTCACTTCAGTCATGTCCGACTCTGTGCGACCCCATCCCTGGGATTCTCCAGGCAAGAACACTGGAGTGGGTTGCCATTTCCTTCTCCAGTGCATAAAAGTGAAAAGTGAAAGTGAAGTCGCTCAGTCGTGTCCGATTCTACAGAATCACTGTTCTCCTTTAATATGCAGTAATATTCCCACCAAAGGCATCATGTTTGTATCACAACCCTGCTGACGCCCAGCAGTGGTGAGGCCATAACAAATTACTTACCTTCCCTACACCATAGTTTCCTCAGGTACAAAATGGAAATAATAGCAACTACCTATTTTGAGGGTTGATGTGATAATTAAGATGATGATTGGTGAATCAATTAGTTTTACAGATTTAATTTTTAAAAGGCAAAAATTGTAGAAATGGTTCATATTGCTCACTACCTATCCAGACATGAGCCTTAATTAAAAACCTTGGCAACTCAACGGCAAGTGATCTTAAGACACTAGTTTTCTGAAAGAATTAAGTCCCCCTTTTTTTCTTAATAGCTCTGTTTGTGTTACTTCCTCCGGCAGGAATGCAGGTCCCTGCGCGGGGAGTATGTTGGACGAGCCTGCGGCCACGAGCACCCCTACGTTCCAGACGTTCTGTTTTGGTCAGTGATCCTCTTCTTTTCCACAGTCACTCTGTCAGCCACGTTGAAGCAGTTCAAGACTAGCCGCTATTTTCCAACCAAGGTACTTAGACTACAGTTTTTCTGCTCAAAGTGTGAACCAGCATAAAGCATGTTACGGTGATATGTGTATTTTAGGACCGAAAAAGAGCGATTGCTGTCATTAAAGGGGCCACTGAAAGGTTTCTGTGTGATTGAGCTGCCATATTAGGAGTGAGGTGTGGTGAGGTGGGGAGGAGGAAGCCTTTTGTGAGACTGGTGCTGGGAGCGCAAACTGCCTCTAGGCTTATCTCCTAACTTCAAATCCCAGAGATAAGACTCCCACTTCCCGACTTTCGTTTTTGGAACTCAAAAGCACACACTGCATTACTGATTGTCACTTTCTTGCCCAGTGAACAGTGGGAACTATTCCAGCCTGACAGACACCTCACAGGAGCCACTGTTAGGTTTTGTAATTGGGAAAGCCCCTGCAAGACTCATTGGAACACAACCTCTTTTTCATTTTTAAAGTGTCAGTCCCTCCCCCTAACCCAACCACGTTTGCATCTGCATATTTGGAAAAGAAAGTAAACAGAGAAACAGCTTAGTTCAATATTTAACACTGCAAAGTAACACCTATAAGGCCTGACTCAGCCAAAAAAGGACTAAGGAAGGAAGGGAGGGAGAGAAAAGAAAAGAAAGAAGAGAAACAAGAAAACAAGCTTTGGGGAGATGAGCTAAAAATTGTGATGAAAATTCTACTCTGGGAAAATGTTTTAAGAACTGTTTGAGAGAAGCTTCTGTTTTTGTTACCTCCTCCTTCCCTAAGGTAGAAGATTCATTTCTTTCCCCCCAAAGCTTAATTTGATTAATATAGAATTGGTTTTTTTAATTAAACTCCTGGATTTTGTGTTTGTGTGTATGACATAAAGGCATCCTAATAAAAGCCAGATCTTACTGAATATTGTTTAAGGATTTTGCTCAAAGAAGCCTTAATAAATGAGAAATAGAATAACTTTTAAATTTACTTCCTCTATTGTGAACATAACCTGCTGCTATACTTATATCTCAGATAAACTTAACTATTGTGATACTTCAATAAAAACAGATTTTATTTTATAGTGTTTGGGGTTTATCATATTAAAATGTTACCTGTGTGAGAAAGAGTATTAAAATTTAGCCAGATTCTCTCCATGCAATGTTGTTCTTTATTTTAAATATTCTCACACTGGAATTCATAATAAACTTAGATTTTTATCAGCATCACTGGTGTAATAGTACCATGCAAGATTCCCATAATAAACTTAGATTTTAAATAAATACTGAAAACAGCACAATCACCATTGTAGCTATTCCACAATGCCTCATTTTGAAAAGGTTGAGTGTATATTTATCTTAATGACAGAGATACATAAATATAAATATGACAGAGTTAACAGTAAAATTATAGTATGCATAAAATGTAATATTATGATATCATGTCATAAAGTGTGATTCTAGATTATGTTCCTGAGTATTCCTCGCTATTTATTGCTCCTTCAAGTGACAAATGTTTTAATTATCTCTAGGTTCGATCCATAGTGAGCGACTTTGCTGTCTTTCTTACAATTCTATGTATGGTTTTAATTGACTATGCCATTGGGATCCCGTCTCCAAAACTACAAGTACCAAGTGTTTTCAAGGTGAAGTTATCATAACATTTACTATCTCTCCATCTCTGTAGGTCTAATTTTTATTCAGATGATGGTTATAAACCTAGCACTTGGGATTTTTATGAAAATATAAAGAATATTGATTAATATAACAAAATAAAACGCCCACAGCCCAACTACAATTTTGGTCTAATATTAAAAAATAAGTAGTAATCACAGAAATAGAGACCTGGAAACCACTTGAAAAAGTTTCCTGTTAGTTCTTCCAGTAAGAATATCTATATTCCTAAAAGATAAGGAAACATTTTGAAATTAAGGGAAATGCAGTTTCTTGATGCAGAATTGCACAATGGTTAGGTATTGGAAAAAAAATAAAATTAGGTCTGGAATAGAGTTTGAACCACATTACAACTATGACCTTGGGCCAGTTACTTAATCTTTGTGAACCTGTTTTCTCGCCTATTAAACAGAGCTGGGGACTTCCTCAAAGAATTGTTGAAATGAATTCATTTGGGACTCATCTCAGGCACCAGCCATGTTTAGAACCCTTCCCTGAAGGAAGCAAAAACCCTTTTACTGTTTTTACTTAGTGGCCTGGATACACATCTAAAATGAGTTATACACAGTTGTCAATGTGATATTTGTAAAAGTGGATGAATTTGCCAACCCAATAATAGCACATATGATAATGGTAATATAATTTTATTTAATATAGATATTGATTGAGAACACAGATTTTTGAGCCAGTCTATCAGAGTTGAAATCTTGTCTTCTCCACTCACTAGCTTTGGGACCTTGAGAAATTTATTCTCTATGCTTATTTCCTTGTCTGTAACTTCTTTAGACTGTTGTGAAGAAAAAAGTGAGTTGAAATACTTAAAACACTTAGAATGGTGCCTGGTACCATGTTTTGTGAATATTAATATTAAATATAATTCACTTGGCATATCAGTTTATAATTAGGGCTTTCCTGATATTGTCTGTAAGACTTCATTTGATTAGATATTTATTAATCCAGTTAATAACTATGCATTCTTTAATTTTTCACAGCCCACAAGAGATGACCGTGGCTGGTTTGTAACACCTTTAGGTCCAAATCCATGGTGGACAGTAATAGCTGCTATTATTCCAGCTTTACTTTGTACTATTCTAATTTTTATGGACCAACAGATTACAGCTGTCATTATCAACAGAAAAGAACATAAGCTGAAGGTATATTTTAGCATCCATTTTAACATAAATCATTATGATTTACCTGAGATCAATTGATGTTTGTTATGTTTATTATGCTTTGTAGTCTATATTATACTTTGTATTCTATAGTCATTTGCATAGTGAAATATTAAAATTTTCAGATTTATAATTTTATTTTCTATATTCACAGTACTTTGTCTTACAATAAGCTTCAAATTAGTTATTAATTAATTTATTTATGGCACTTAGCTGAGCTCAAAATTCTAAAACCCTACCTCTAGGACTTAAAATTTTAAAATGTTGCCAAAGTTCTAGTGTTCTTTACCATACTTAACACATTTTAATGAAATGGTCTATTTTGATGAAGTGTAGCTTTACCAGTGTCTTACATGAGATTCTTCTATTTCTATATTTGACTCTAAGTATGTCTATTAGATTGCATTCATTTTGGAACAAATTACATCTTCAACTAATTCTCATTTTTCTTTAGTTACTTCTCCATCTATAATGTCTATGACATCAAAACCAAGTTATAAATGTTATAGTTTTTAAGTGACATCTTTGTTGAATTTTATTGAAGATTTCAATGACTTTCTTTTACAAAGAGAATAAATATAAATATATTTTATTTATTATATTCTGACTCTGCCATTTTGCAACTGTGAATAAAGTTGTTCATTGGTATGAGATATGTAATGTGAGCACTGTCATTTATAGGAATATATTAAGTTAAACTGAATCAACAAAACGATTGAATGGTTAAAGGTACTCTGAATCAAACCTTATAAAAATTAGAACATGCACAATCTTGTTTCTTCTGGTGTCATGGGATAGTGGTGAGCTATCGTCATATATTCTTTAAATTCTAGGAGAAATTTTGTCAGAGCAACAGAAATTATACTTTATAGAATTTTTAAGTATGTACCTTAGAAAGATTTTAAAAACCTGATTGAATTATTTGATAGGAAATAGTAATGACATAAATATAAGAAAGCACAGTTATTTGCAGTAAATCCTCCTGAAAAGGAATTTTGTCTATTACATTGGGGAGAATGTGTATCTATTTTAAAATAAAGAGCATTTTTTTATTCTCTTTTTAGAAAGTAACAAGAGCGCTCAAAACCTTTTTTAAAAATGAGTTCATATTAACTTCTTGTTTTTGTCAAAGAAAAATTTTAATTATTAAAGATATATTCTACAAAAATATCACATGAAGTCTTAGGAACTAGACCAGTGATGTGCTAGTACATGTTTAACAACCAGTTCTCTGTGTGTAAAAAAAATACCCTGATTTATAATGTTTGCCGATTTTCATGATGTGAATACTCCCATCATGGCCCTTTTCAAGCTACCAAAGTGACATCAATTGGCAGGAAGAAAATTGAAAATTAAACAATTGGCTCTTATAAGTCTATATGAGCTGGCTCCAAAATACTGCTGAACTACATTATTCAATATTGGAAACTTTGAATCATTTACAGCTCTCAAAATAAGAAATTCAGATTTCCAAGTTAGTAGTCAACTTATTTAATATCAATCATTCAAAAATATTTAATAGTAAAATATCAGCCTTCTGCAAAAGCAAATACTGCCACAACCTAATTATTAAAGTTACAGAGTTAAATAATCTATAAAGCTAGTGTTAAGAACTTTATGTTGAACATTATTAGTCTGCTATTCTCTAAGAAGTAGGAAAACATTTTTCCTAGACACCAGTTTATTTTACAAAACTGAAAACATCTCTATTTTTCTCATCTCTATTTTTATTGTATACTTAAATATGTATTTTCATATTGCATATGTTGCATGTTTTTTTTTTTTTGCATAAGAGCATTATCATGGTAATCCTCCCATGTCAACAGTATAGGCTGCATTATCATTTTAACGGAAGTTTATATATTTCCTTGTATGACACGTGTTTTTAAATGAACTAAAAGACTCCTGTTTTAGAAAGAAAGCTATATAATCATTATTTCCCTTTCAAAGGAAGTTGGGTTTTTTTGGGCTTTTATAACTAGGCAGAAATATTACTGATTTCTGAAAAATTCTCTTTGTATATTTGTTTCCCAAATATTAGTGGAATTATATTAAAACAGAATGTAGAAGTAAGTGAAGAATTGCCAAGGGTGATGTTACCTCTTTGGCTGTCTTGTGTGCTTGCTCTTTCCAAATCTCTCTACCTGATAATCACATAATGCTTGCTCCTTGTTCTTCCTGAGTCCATGGTAGCCCCTTGACATTCACAGACTTTCCAAAGCTCCAGATCAAGAAATGTACTATGTTATTTCACCTTTATGTATCATGTAGAGTAGCTAAAATATAGTAAAGCATTCTTTAAGTGGTCCTTTCAATTACCTGCTTTTCTAGAATTAAATGTAGAATTAAAGCATTTAATATTTTTGTCACTAAAATGAAGTTGAGACTATATTATTAAACTATATTATATTATTTGTACATACTTTTTATTGTACAAATTGCTGTATAGTCAAAAGATGCCTATTTTACCCCTTAATAGCCTGTATTTAATAGACAGAGCAAATCTGGTTTAATCATAAAGCCAGATAAGGCTTTGCTATGTTGTCACAGGAAGAGTTGGTCTTTTCTTGGCCACTATGAGTCTGAACACCCCCAGTTTCCTTTGGATATGGATATTTTCAAAGTAAGTTCTATCCAGTGAAGACATATTTTATCTGCACTGAATACTTTTTTTTTTCTTTGCCTCTAACCCAGTGTTCTGTAAACTTCAGTATCACGTGGGCTGCTGCTACTGATTTTCCCGTTAACAGCAGCAAAAAATCTCTTTCTCAGAATGTTCTTTATTCAGAGTAACGGTCTGTTCCATAACTGCCCTCCCCACCTGTTGCTTCCCTGAAATGTCTTCAGTCTCTGGCTTTTACTTGAACCACATTGTCACAAAAAAACAGGTGTTTCTTGAATATATCCCAAGACCACAAGTTAACCACATTATCAACTTTTGCTGATTTTCTTTTCTTGTTTGAAAACCCATTTTTGTCTTGGTTGGGGCATTTCCTGAGACGGATGAATGACGATTTCTATATTCTGTATCAAGCACCTTGTAGAGGCCATGTTATATATTTAAGCTGACATCACATAGCCGAGTCACCTAGAAATTTCATCATTTCATTCTTTATCTCTTCCAAACCTATGTTTTAGATCTTTTTACTTTTTCTTCCCTTCCATTACCAAAACTAGTTGCCAAGGTTTTCTACTAGAGGAATTTTTTTATTTTAGAAGACTTTTCTCCTACTATTAAAATTTTTTTTGTCATTTTGTGTTACTACATATGCAATAAAGCTGTGTTGAGCTGAAGAGTCTAGTGCCAGCTCACAGGCTAAGTGACTGACTCCTCCCTCAGAATGAAGAATTTCAAGACCAGCAAAACTCTAACTCATGACATCTCATGATCCTTTAGGTCACTCAGAAGCATCAGAAGTTGAAAATGTAAAAACTTGAGAATGCAAATTACCATTCATATTATATGTAGATGTAAATTCATACTCTCTCTAGCATTTCTCATTTGTTTGTTTCTACCCTAGAGAAGTAGAATAAGCATTGGTTAACTAAATCCCTTTGAAAATCATGAAAAATTTCCACTTTTAAAAGAAGTATATTCTCTAAAAGTGGAAAGCTACTGTCTTTCAGAAAAGAAAGTTTCTGTTAAGATATAACTGTGGGCTTTTCTTCATGTTTCTGTAGACAGTTCAGGCTTCTTTTGACATCATTTTTTAATAAACAGCAATACAATCCCAAATCACTTGAGTAAATGAATGCATTTGCCACATTCATTTGGCACCACATTCTCTTGATGATTATGGCATTTGATATGTTCTTTTTTGCCCTCTTTGTCAGCCTGGTTCTTCATGTCAATCTATAGTCTTTTATGTGGTTAACTTGACAGATGCAGGAAATTGCTGCCAAGCTTTGAAATGAATTTTTTCAGCAGTGGCATCTGGGTATCAGATGGTCCTCTTGGCTGGCCTCTTGTCTTGCTGCATGTTGGTTTTAGTGGGGTCTGGTGTAGCATCACCTGTTGCTATGCTCCCTTTTCTTCCCATATGTCCATTTCCCGTGTTTCATGGATGAATGTGAGAATAGAAGCTCTGATTCTGTCTTTATTTCAGAAAAAAATCTACAGAAATATGTTAGAAGGTACAGAGTTCTCTCTCTGACAAAGGGATACTTCCCTTTGGCTGGCATGCCCATCAGCTAATGATTTGGTTACAAAGACCATGGTTTTAAAGACATTTTAAATGGAAGGCAAGACGAAGGATGATGATTAATTAGTGGAAGTGCCAGAACTGCTTTACTTCCTTTGACTCACATCAAATTAAGCTGCTCCCATTGTTGTACAACATAATCAGGGGGAAATTGTATTTTTGATTTTATTATCTGCTTGGACTTTACAAAGCTAGCTTTCTAAATTTAAAAAGGAAATTATTCTCTTGGAAAGTGTTATTTTGTCTGCTTACTTCAGTCTAGCATCCCACAGTTTACATTTGTATCATATTTTTTTTAACAGCAAGCAAGTCATTTTATTTTTTAAAAACTTTTAATTTTGTTCTGGGGTATAGCCAACCAATAATGTTGTGATAGTTTCAGGTAAACAGCGAAGGGATTCAACCCTACATTCTCCTCCAAACTACCCTCCCATCCAGACTACCACATCATATTTTTGAGACACTAAGACAAGAACTATAGGAAATGGCTGTCAGGAAGGCCTTCCTTATATTCTTATGCCATAGGGAGCATATACCATGGGAAAGACCGGGGTGTCCTGAAAGCATAAGCCTGACTCTCAAGTCCCCATGTCCTCTGCCCTCCTCTCGTGTCTATCTCTCAGCTGCTGGCACCTCTTCCATTCTCTCTTAGCAATACCGCAGATTTGCAAAACAGCCCAGGGGCACCATTTACATTGTACTGCCTCAGTGGCAAGGGCTTGAGGATCAGGTCCTTTGCTGTCCTATGTTCTTCACACTGCACAGTTCCTAGGACAACACTTGTCTGACCGGTTAAGACTCTGTCCTTAAATGGGCCTAAAAATTTTTATTTAATTAATTTATTATTTTTAACTGCACTGGGTCTTCGTTGCTGTCCAGGCTTTTCTCTAGTTGTGGTGAGTGGGGGTTACTCTCCAGCTGCAATGAGCAGGCTTCTCATTGTGGTGGCTTCTCTTGTTGCGGAGCACAGGTTCTAGAGCATGTGGACTCAGTAGTTAGGGCTTGCGGGCTCTAGAGAACAGGCTCAGTAGTTGTGGCATGTGGGCTTGATTATCCCTCAGCATGTGGGATCTTCCTCGACCAGGGATCGAACCCATGTCTCCTGCATTGACAGGAGGATTCTTTTCCACTGAGTCACAGGAAGCCCAACAGGATTAAAATTTGAATTCTATCCTATGCAACTACATCTTCCAAGATGTTCTGCAAAAGGACTAGGGGACCATAGTCTGGCTCTGGTGAAGCTTATACTTTCTTGGTCATGCTGACACAAAGGTGTTTCTCTTCCCGCCTTCCAGCTCTCTCCAGAAAATCTCTCCAGAGTTATTAGCAGAAAATCTCTCCAGGTTTATTAGCCGAAAAATTGTCTAGGGTTATATTCACAAGTGAAATTGAGTTTAGGCATTTGGATGAACCTGGAGCATTACCCCAGCTAAGCTGACCCAAGGAAGGGTGCCAATGAATTGGTGACAATGCAGGAGGCAAAAAGGTACTTGTGTGGATATGTCTCATTTTCTTTGCTCTGTCATCTCCTGTACTTTTATAATTTGGCAAGGGTAAGCAGAAAGGGAAGGAAGTACAGCTGATTTTAAGGGTGTTTTTCTTAATAAAACGATGAAATAAAATAGCAGAAAGAAAACACTACCATGACAAATACACATCAAATACTCGGTATGTTTTACCTTCAAGGCTATATTAGCTTTCAGATAAACTAGAAAGTGCTTGCAATTTGGTAAAACTTCCTGTAAAAAAGAGTCAAAATTACTCCTCTAGAGTAATTGGTAATTTCTGCTCACATTCATAATAATAAATTTAACAGTTATATTTATTTTTAAATTACACCTAGATTTGATTCTAAAAATGTTTCAGTTATGCATATTTCCTTTTAAAATGGTCAGTCTGTGACTTTTTGATTGCTTATTGTATGTTAATGATTGCACTAAAAAACTAGGATTTACTGAGAAATTATGTGATAAGTTTAAACATATTTTTATTAAGGAACCTTGAAACAAGTAAGTACAAAAGAAGAAAGTTTTTGTTCAACTGCGAAAATATGATAGTCGCTCACATTTACTCGGTACTTACTGATATATCAGACATTGTTCTAAATGATGTGAAAATCATTTGTAATTCTCAGAACAACTCAGCACTCTGTCTCTTGTCATCATCATCACCATTTTTCAGATAGGGAAACAGAGGCACAAAAGCTTAGATGATTTGTCCAAGATCATTGCTTAAGCCGGCATTTGATCCCTGGCGCCCTGTCTCCAGAACTTATTGTCTAGGCTAAGCTGACTCAACTCTTAACTGTCTTATTACATACACTACCTCTCATGAAGTAGTCATTAAAAGTTGGAATGTAAAATAGCGTTTGCTAACTCTTAGGCTTTACACTGTCAATTTCCTATGGGTGATAGTGACAAAGCTATTCCCCATCATGTTTGTGTCCTCTAAGGACTTTTAGCCAATCAGTTTCCTCAAGGGAACAGTCCTCAGTTCTCCACACCTCCACATGTCCCATGCATCCATTTTTCCTTATTTACATTTCCTATCTAGTTCAAGAGAGCACTGAAGTTTGCAACATCTGGAAGTCAGTGATGGAGTAGAATCATATAGGGGATAGAAAGCACAAAACTATCATTTTAAGGAGAGGCCAAATTTTTCTAGTGCTGCGAGAGATGAGAACAAGATAGTTCTATGCTAGGATAAAAATGAGTTTGTAAAAGGAAGTTTAGGTTCTATGATATTATTTTTCACGATAAAAGTCAACCATTGAGACAAAAGAGCCTGTAAATGGAAAGGGCTTAACAAGAGCTTATCCTTTAGAAGTTCTTAGCAAAAAGGCCTCCTGGATATTGTCAGGAAGTGGTGTCCAGTCACAACCAGGCCGTTTTTAGCTCTATTGGGGACACAGTCATTTCTTTTCTCAGCTTAATGCTTGATATATAATTGATGCTCAATAATTTTTTGTATAAATTAATGATGAAAGACATGAATTACAAATTAACCTGCTCATTCAAGGAACCAAAACAAAGGGACTGTATTTGATAATGACTTTACCTATTCAGTTGAAATAGAATGGAAACTAATGTACTAGTAAGCCAGAATTATATCTATTAAAATATGTAGAAGTCACTATAATCATAATTGCAGTAGGAACATCTGTAGCTTTTCTTTAAGTGGACTGTATATTTTGAGACTATTCTCTTTTTATCTTTAATTTATTTTGCATTTTAGAATCAGTTATATAAGATTCAAAATAGTATCTCTTTTCTGTTCTTTTCTGTTCTGTGGCAGTGGTGTCATTGGTATTTATGCCAAATTCAGGTAGAGTGAGAATTCTGTTTTCTTTCTCTTAACAGAAAGGTTGTGGGTACCATCTGGATCTGTTAATGGTGGCTGTCATGCTGGGTGTGTGCTCCATCATGGGCCTGCCGTGGTTTGTGGCTGCCACTGTCCTTTCCATCACTCATGTCAACAGCCTCAAACTGGAATCTGAATGTTCAGCTCCAGGAGAACAACCTAAATTTCTTGGCATTCGGGAGCAAAGAGTTACTGGGCTTATGATTTTCATTCTCATGGGCTCGTCAGTCTTTATGACTAGTATTCTGAAGGTAATAAAATCTCCCTTTGTGAACTTGAGAGAAGGCAGAATATATGTATTATTGTTTAAGAAATTTCATTTGAGTCTAAGCCATCAATTTGTAAATATTGTATGGCATGTGATGAAAGTGATGAATTTTTTTATCATGTTTATATAGCTTCTTACCAAGAGAAATTATGTGCTATATTTTAGAATCCTTAAGTATGTAAAAAATTTAATCTGGCAAAGTAAATTTGATGTATAAATTATTATTGTAATTTTGAAATGGTAATCAAGTTCTGGGAAACAGTCACTCATCTCTGACTAGTGACCTGAGTTTACTGCATGCCTACACAAAAGAAAGTTTCTAATTTCTTGTCAGTGGACAGATATATTTGCAATTAATATTACTTAGTAAAGGGGGAGATGCAGAGATAAGCAGTGCCATGGTCATGGCCACATATGCAGTTTTGTATTTTAAATGTTCCATAAAACTGTTACATGGACATTGTTATTGGATATACTTTTTTTTCATGTTTAAAATAATTGAATTCATTTTAAAGATTTTAATTCATTTAAAATAACTGAATTAATTTAAATTTCCCTAATGTAGCATAATAATATACTTGATATTTATTGTTTATTATTCATCATATGTGATTTTATTGATTTTGACCTATTAAATATGTCTAATAGACCCATTATTATCTCTTTTTAGATATTGGGAAGCTAAGGCACAGAAAGCTTAGGTAACTTACCTGAGGTTATGCAGCTAAAAAGTGCTAGAGCTTGGATTTGAACCCATGGCTTCTGATCTGCCCCATACTTCTAAAATATTTACCTTTCTGTGTTTTTCCTTGGAAGTACAAAATGTCTTGACCACATTGTATTTGAAAATAACCTGTGCCTTTTTTCTAATTGTTATTTTACAGTTTATTCCTATGCCAGTGCTATATGGAGTGTTTCTTTATATGGGTGCTTCATCACTAAAAGGAATTCAGGTAAATTACTTTATAATAATATAGTAAGTAAAGCATATACAGTAAAGCTGTGATGACATATCTTAAGGTCTCAAAGTCACTTGAGAGCTAAGAAAATGTCATTATCTGAGGAGTAGCTTTCAGTCTACAGTTAAATTTCTTAAAAATTTCTTAAAAATGGTTCATAAAAAAAAATGGTTCATAATCTGAGGGTACTTCTGTTTACTATGAGTATATTGAAACAGTGGGACTTCCCTGGTGGCTGACACAGTACAGAATCTGCCTGCAATGTGGGAGACCCAGGTTCAATCCCTGGACTGGGAAGATCCCCTGGAGACGGGAATGGCTACCCACTCCAGTATTCTGGCCTGGAGAATCCCATGGACAGAGGAGCCTGGTAGGCTACAGTCTATGGGGTCGAAAACAGTCGGACATCTGAGTGACTAACACACACACATGTTAAAACTGTAAAAAGTTTATACTTTATAATCCTTTTAGAAAATGATATCAGTATATTTAAAACTATATAAAATATTAAAATGCTTTTAATCTTTGATATTCTGATGATGTATGTGGACATCTATCCATGAAAATAGTAAAAAAAATATGCACAAAGATGTTCCTTGTAACACATATTATCAAAATATTGAAAACAACACAATTACTCAACAACAGTAAAATAATTAAGTAATTTATGGTTAATTTAAATTTGATAAATTAATTTAAAATTGATAAATGCAATGACCATAAAAATAACACAGTAAAAATGCTTATGACAAAGTGAAATGTGAAGTGAAAAAGTGGGAAAACAAGTTGTAACTACCACAGGTTTAAAAAACTGTGAATATGGGTAGATTAAAAAGGAAGGTGGAGAAAGAAAAACAATTTGTTAAGGTAATAAGATTCTGGGTGATTTTTGCCTTTTATGTTGCTTTTCTGTTATTATTGCAATTGTCTTTATAGAATTATTTTATAAATTAATAAGGAAAACCTTACAGGTTGTTTAATTATTGGTTATATAAATATAGTTTTCACATTAATTTCCCATTGTTACCTAAAAAATTGCTATAAAACTTATTGGCTTAAAACAGTAAACATTTATTATCACACAGTTTCTGTGGGTCATAAACTTGGGAACATAATAGCTGGGTGATTTTGGCTCAAGATGCCTTATGTGGCTGCTAGCAAGATATGGACAAGAACTGCAGCCATTTGAAGGCTTGGATAGGACTAGAAGGTGTTTAACCAAAATGGCTTATCCCAACGCTGTGGGCAGGAGATGGTAGTGCCTCTCTGGCTATTGGTAAGCGGCCTCTCCATCAGACACTTTAAATGTCATCACGACAGAGATCCTAACCTCCATCTGAATGAGAAATATGAGGCAGAGTGAGGCTGAAGTCACTGTGCCTACTGACAGTCTACAAAGTCACACATGGTCACTTCCACTTTTCTTATATTTGTTAGAAGCCAGTCGTTGTGGCCAGTTTGCACACACGAGGAGGGAAATTTATACTCCATCACTTGAAGAGAATAATATCAAAGAATTTGTGGACACATTTAAAAAATACCGCAAGAGGAACTTCCCTAGTGGCACAGTGGATGAGAATCTGCTGCAAGCGCAGGGGACACTGGTTTGATCCCTGGTTCGGGAAGATTCCACATAGCATGGAGCCGCTAAGCCCATGCGCCACAACCATTGAGCCAGCACTCTAGGGCCCTCAGGTCACAAGTACTGAGCCCGTGTGCTGCAGCTCCTGAAGCCTGTGTGCCCCAGAGCCCACGCCCTGCAACCAAGAGTACCCCAACTTGTAGCAACTGGAGAAAACCTGCATGCAGCGATGAAAACTCAGAGCAGCCCCAAATTAAATGAAGAAAATTTTAAAACATTTCTTTTAAGTGCTACAAGATTATTTCAAATTTTTACTGAGGCTGCTGGCAAATTATTCCTGCTTATGTTATTATAGTGGGTTGAATAGTGCCCCTTCCCCACACATCTACCTGGAATCTCAGAATGTGACCTTATTTGGAAATAAAGTCTTTGCAGATGAAACTGGTTATGTATTTCAAGAGGAGCTCACCCCGAATTTAGGATGAACCCTAAATCCAATAACTGGAGTCCTTAGAAGAAGAGGAGAGGACACAGAGAGACGCAGGGAAGAAAGCCACATAAAGGTCGAGGCAGAGATTGGAATTTTGCCACCACAAGCCAAGGTATATCAGGAACCAACAGAAGCTGGAAGAGGCAAGAAAATTTTCTTCCCTGCAGCCTTCAGACAGAACAAGGCCCCACCAAAACCTCGATTTTGAAATTCTGGCCTCCACATCTGTGAGAAAATAAATTTCTATTGTTTAAGCCACCGAATTGTAATTTGTTACAGCAGCGCTAGGAAACTAATACAGATTTCTATTTAAAATTTCCTTTGAATAATCTTGCTTTATAATAAGACTATTGTTCCCAAACACTTAAATTTTCTTGAAAAAGAGACAAAGTTTGAGGATTATTTATTGTATAGTTTATTTTTGTTGGCTAAAAGAAAATATAAATTGCCACTTTTTTTCTGACGAGATAGACTCATTACTTTCAGTGACCTATAAAGGAATAGTCATCTGACTAAATGTTATGAATTCGTCAAATTAACACTTTTTAAGTGGAGCACAGGGTGTTAGATGGTGAGCTGGCGGTTTAATAACAGACCACAAGAGAAACAGAAATAGAAAAGTTTATCACTCATAGGTCTTCACAGGAAGGACCTGGCCTTGAGGGGCCACGTGGGGAGGCCAAGACAAAATGGAGACGGAGAGAGAGAGACAGGACCTGGGGCAGATGCCTTTATTAGCGTCAGTGGGTGGAACACTTTGGGGTTCCTTAGCTAAGGCTGAAACTGGACTCTTCAAATCGGAAGAGCAGGTTTGGTGAGCTTTGCAGAGGTCTTATCTAAGGAGTGCATAAGGAGAAGAGGGCAGGGGAAGTTGTTGATCACAAGGGCCATTGGGGAAATTATATCAGGAACTTATATTTACTTGTGAGTCTGCAGGTAGCTAGGGTAATTTAAGGTTGCTGCAGCCTGCTTGATCGGACAAAATGGGTGATGAGGCAGCAGCACCGTGGAAGAGCTTGGCTAAACTCTCAACGCTGAGGGACAGGCAGTACAGGAACTCTTTTCCTGAATAAATAATTAATCAGCTTCTGACCTTGGGAGAAGGTCATCCTTTTAGGCCCGAGGATGCTATTGGATGTCAGAACCAAGACAGAACTTTAACATGATGTTACTGTAAGATCACTAATCACCCTAAGTCGATAGGATGAGTGTGTTCATCCTGGTACTGTGTAAAAGTAACTTGGGAGGGGATGTGTTGAATCTTAAGAAATAAAGTAAAATCCTCAGGGTTATAACTGAGTGTTTCACTGTTGTAACACTTGAGAAGTGTTATGCATTTAATTTTACTCTAACTACATTTAATTTGTTCATTTATAACTTTATGTATGAAAAATACATTTTAAAAGAATTGGTCTGGCAAGACAGATAGGGAAGAGTGCTGAAGAGGTTTTGTTTATTTGTTTTGCTGGGGTTTTTTTTTGCCTTTGGCAAAAGTTCTATGAGTACTGATTTCATCTGTAAGTGAAAAGTATTTATTATTAGGCCTCAGGCTCACATAAATATAGCAGCAGAAGTTTAAGAAACAAAGTAAAATCATTTTGATAGCTTCAACAGATTTCCCCCCCTAATTCCACTCACATGATTTTATTATACCCATGAGCTTTGGAACTAAACAAGAATGTCAAATTTTGGAATTATTTGGGGTGTGAATCTTTCAAATGAAAGTTGAGGAAAATATTATCAAAGACCCATGAGAAAAGTATAATGAGTTCTAAATAGCACAAATGAAACAGCAAATAGGGTCTTACACTAAGAAACAGAGTTAGTGAAAATTTAAGTGAACCCTGAACTCAGGGAGCTGAAATTCCTATTTGGAATATTGTGGCTAACTGGATGGAGAAATGGGATGCTGATATTAGGACAAGATCAAAGGTACATGCAAAACTCAGAATATATTTATTATGACTATCATTGGGTACTTGAGTAATAATAATTAAAAATATGCTGAATATCAGCAGTTCAAGAAACGTGTTAATTTGTTACCCCATTTGTTTGAAGAATCTTGTATATTACCTGTTTGGCAATATTAAGACATTTATCTAGGTTTCTTATTGTGCAACATGGCAGGAAAAACAGAACATAGTGTTCTTATGAATGCTGTTTCTATACTCAGATATATAGCCACATTTATATTCACTCCAACACTTTAAGAATCCAAAGTAAAGCAAATGTGCCATTTAAGCAATAACAATGGAATCACCCACACACTGAAGTACAGTTATGCAATAACATAACTTCACACATGGAGAAATGGTAGCTGGGAAAAAAATTAGTTCTATAGAAATTGAAACACTCATTTATAGCCCTGAGGATTTTACTTTATTTTTTCCCTATTCCTATCTCCACCATGCACTGAGTTTTATTTATTTAATGACATGTGATTTTAAGAGATATTTAGGAGTTAGAGATAAAAAGACCCAGTGAAATATTTATGGACAAGGTAGAGAGGAACAAACCAGGAACTAATTCAGCACTTAGTACTCTGCATAGGTTTTCAAAGAATTTTTTGGAAGGTATAAATGAATATGACTAAATAAATGAACAGTGGATGGACTCAACAATGTGTGATTCTGGTTTAGATGCCCAAGGGAAGGTCATGCTGTGCCATAAGACAGGTAAAAAACAGAAAGAAAGATGAGTTTGTGTTGAATTGGGAATATGAGAAGGTGTCAGTAAAACATGATGTATGACACTACACTGACACTTATTTGACTCTATGGGCATTTTTGTTCCTTGGCATATTGGAGTAATTTTGGAAAATTTGATGAAGATTGCTTACAATTTTCTCATATAAATTAGCTAAGGACTAAATCAAATGTTACTCTTAAAACACATAGGAGATATTCCATGGTATGAAATAGAACTGACAGTGATTGAAACTGTCATTTTCTAAATCATCACTTCTTGTTGGAAACATTGAAAACTGTAAAATTTGGCCTGAGAAAAATTAAACAAAATGATCTGCATGAAACAAAGCTAACATGCAGTACATTTTGTTAATAAGTAAAAGATGATTGAAGATTTCAGATTCTTGTGGACATTTAATCTATAAAATTTGAATTGAGAAAATTAACTTTGGTGGATAAAAATGTCAAAGCTATTAAAATAATATCTTGTCCAAAAATAATGTGCTGTCTTTATGATAAAGTTTAAACAGAAATAACCTTGATCCAGATGAAAATAATGTTAATAAGACACAATTAAAAATATATATAAATGATTTGACAGTGTAGTAGAGGAAACTGATCAATAAATTAAACTGAGTTAAAATTTGCTCTGAAAATACTTTATTAATAGTAATTCATCTAGGTTAAATATTTATGGCCAAGGTATTTGTATTTTTAGAAACAGCACCAAAACCTTTTATGGGAATGAAGGTGGCAAGGTCAAAACAGCAAAGTCAAAATAAGGAGGTACATCCTATGTAGCGGCTGCATGTGGGTCTGGAGCTCAAGACAGCAAGAGCTGCAGTAGAGACTGAGGGCTGAGATTCTAGCAAGTTTGTGAAAGTTGAAACAGTGGGTATGGATGAAATATTCAGTAAAGAAGGGTGCAGGAAACCCCAGTACTTAGACAAGTAAAGGAAGAAATTGAGATGTGATGATGAAGATGAGGGTGATGATTGTGTTTTGTCTCAAGGCTATACTCTCTGAGGGAGCAATGTTTAGCATTAGCATAGATGTTATTAAACTCTTCTAAATTTTAACCTGTATCCACATTTGAGAAAATATGGGATATTATCAAACTGAAGTTGTGGTATTTCAGAATGTACACTTAACAATCCCATAGTTCTGATGCCAGGATGTCAATGTAAGTGTGATCTAGATGTACCACATATTGGACTATATTATACATTTACTTGTCCTACTTTTCTTGTTGTCTGTAAAAAGCAATTTAGTCTGTTTATCTTTTAGTTCTTTGATAGAATAAAGCTCTTCTGGATGCCTGCAAAACATCAACCAGATTTTATATATCTAAGGCATGTGCCACTTCGAAAAGTCCATCTCTTCACAGTTATTCAGATGAGTTGCCTCGGCCTTTTGTGGATAATAAAAGTTTCACGAGCTGCTATTGTCTTTCCCATGATGGTACGAAACTTCTAAGTCAGCTCTTTTTTCTCTCTCTGATTTTCTGCTCTCACTAAAAATCCATAAACAAATTGGAACAATAGAATATTGTTATTGGAAACCTTTGTATAAACTTTAGCCATTAAAACTAGTAATTAAGATTGGATTTTAGATTATATATGAATTTCAGTGATTCATACTAGTTTTATCTCTATCATTCTGAGCATTAGTTTGAATTAATTAAAGTTGGGTGGAAAATGTAAACTTTCACAATTTAACTTTAAAGATATACTAGCAAATCTGAAAAGTTAAGGAGACTTTTAAAATTAAATTTTATTAAATATTTTAGATGAGTTACAAATATTTCAAAGCTAAAGTATTAGAATTTGAATCACTATAAATAATTAAAATATTATCAGCATAGGTATTAAAGGTTTAATATTCTTAAAGTGTTTTTAAGGAAATGGTCAAAAATATAGTTTTTTTCATTGCTTCTTTAAATGTCTCCTATAATGGGTAGAATCATAGCCATTATTCTGGAGATGTAGTAAGAAAAGAAACTGAAGGAAACAAAAGCTAGACAATATCTATTATATACACATATATAAAAATTTCATTTTAATATCAGACCTAATTGTAGTTGACTTGTTTCTACCAAAAAACAAATAAATCTAAATCTCCCATTTATACTTTTTTCCTTGTTTTAAAATCTTTTATTATTTCCTTCAGGTATTAGCTTTGGTATTTGTAAGAAAATTGATGGACTTTTTGTTTACCAAGCGGGAACTCAGCTGGTTGGATGATTTAATGCCTGAGAGTAAGAAAAAGAAACTAGAAGATGCTGAAAAAGAAGTAAGTCAGAGCAAAATCAATATCTTATAAAGAAAAAGCAACACGTGCACAGCAACAGCTCTGCAAAATAGATTATTGTGTTTGTCTTTAGTGATTACTAACAAGCACAGGTGGACTACTTGGAAAGATGAGTGTTTAAAATCATAAAACTGAAACTTGAACAGAGAGAGCACATATCTTATATGAGCAAACTCTAGTGAAATATGCAAATACTTGGTACTTCATTATCCTTCAAATTATAAGGTTTATTTTTCTGATTCCTCCCCTTAGGGTGGCAGAAATTTACTAATCCTTAACTGTTTCCAAATTGTGATCAAACAGTGATTGCTTTTTGGTTGAATATGTGAGAAGAAAAAAAAGAGACATTATTACTCTTGGTATTTTCCTAAGGAACAAAATTTTAATCAAGAGATTCTAATTCTAATTAAAAGATAAAATTAGTTATTCATGAAATAGATGAAATGTTTAATAGGAAAGCATGTTGCTCTGATTTGCTTTCATCACTTCTTGGCCTTTGGCTAAGATCAAGTGTGATTTTCTTTCAATGTGCTTTCAGTTCAATCACTCAGTCATGTCTGACTCTTTGCAACCCCATGAACTGTAGCACGCCAGGCCTCCCTGTCCATCACCAACTCCCAGAGTTTACCCATACTCATGTCCATTGAGTCGGTGATGCCAACCAACCATCCTCTGTCGTCCCCTACTCCTCCTGCCCTCAATCTTTCAAAGTGCTTTAGCACTGAGTAAATACTGTTTGAGAAACTTTGGGGATTTTACTACTTTCACAAACTACTGATTTATCCTATTCTGTTTTACATGTTAAAACAATTTGTTTTAAGCTTTATGACATTTAAAATTCATGGATAAATCTGGGTCTATTTTGAAGGCTTGTAGTCATAATATTTTTAAAGTATTGCAAAGAGTATAAATGAAAAAAAAAATGACCAGTACATCATTTAGCAGAATGACTGAGTCCATAAGTTGTAAAACAGAAGAACAAAATTTCTGTATAACTAGAAATGAATTTGAAAGGAAACACTTAGTGAGACTTGTGCATTATTCTCTCCATTTTTTCTTCTACAAAGCAGTCAGTAAATGTATTTAGTTTCCTCTCTGTGGTATATTTTCGCAAGCCATGGGCATATTCCTCTTTCTTCTGGGGAATTTGTTTGCAAACATTCCAGTGGTCTTAGGTTTTACTTAACCATTAGATGAATCCAGATTAGGCCATGAAGTCTAATGGGATTTTTGCTCAGATGTTTCTACAAACATGTCTACATAATATGTGACTGTCTGGCATTTCTTCCCTTTTCCATGGTGAAGAGATTTTCCTATGTGTTGTAGAAGGCATACTTTGAATTATACTTCTAGCCATACTAAGGGAATGGCAAACCACTCCAGTATTCTTGCCTCAAGAACCTCATGAACCAAATGAAAAGTAATACTGATATAATGTTGAAAATGTCAATATAAAGTTATCAAGCTTTTTTATTTTTCTAAGGTTGATATACTCATATTTAAGTATGGGAAAAATTTTTTTAAAATAGTGCTTTAAATATTTTTCTGTTTTTTCTAAGCTTTAACTACTTTTCTAAGTTTATATTCTCATTTAAGTGTAAGAGATTTTTTAATAGTGCTTTAACTAGGATATTTGGATTATCTGTATATGTTTTTAGGGCTTTATTAAAGGTTTGCTGTCATCCTTAGGTACTGTTCAAGAAAAATGAAACAAAATTTGGTATATAATAAATGTAAATAAAGTGAACGTGAATATAGAAATATTATAGGCTTAAACTATTCATACTTGACATAATTAAAGTTTATGTAGGTTGAAAATAATTTCTAAGAAGTTTCAAATTCTAAGGAAGACAACTTTGATTACAAAACTCACTGACCACAAGGTTTTCCTTAGTTTCCCTGATAATGAGAATGTTAAGTATTCTGATGCAGTAACTTGTAATTTTGCCTTATTCTCCTGCTTCGATTTCCTGTCAAATGTCTTTACTACTTCTGTAGGAATCAGCTAGCAACAGCCTCAGGCATACAATCATATCTTCTACAGCATTCATATTAGGCCATATCTGTACCATGGAGCATTCTTGCCCTTCTAAAACTTTGTAAAAAGAAAAATACCATGTATATATAATTGTTGTCATCTTTCAGTCACTAAGTTGTGTCCTACTCTTTGCAACCCCATGGACTGCAGCACTCCAGGCTCCTCTGTTCTCCACTGTCTTCTGAAGTTTGCTCAGATTTGTGTTCATCAAATTGATGATGCTATCTAACCATCTCATTCTCTGCCACCCCATTCTCCTTTTGTCTTCAGTATTTCCCAGCATTAGACTCTTCCAGTGAGTTGGCTCTTTGTATCAGATGTCCAAAGTATTGAAGCTTCAGCTTCAGCATCAGTCCTTCTAAAGAATATTCAGGATTGATTTCCTTTAGGATTGCCTGACTTGATCCCCATGAATAGTATATACAATATATTATGCTTAATATTTCTTCCCTTTTTCCGTTCAAAGAAAATTTCATATTCTTCCTTTATATGTCTGTGAAATAGGAGAAAACAAATTTGACAGTAATCATAAATGTATTAGAATATGCTATTTCCATTGCTGAGAACCATTCACATAGCTGCATATGTATGGTACTCATATGTATGTGTGCCATATGTCCATTTTGGAATTTAGTAACTTCAGATAGGCAGAGATGCTATGGAATGAGCTTCTAATCTTTTTACATTATAGACTCATTATTTACCAATGGTTATTGACTGTTTTCTGATTATGTAGATAAAGAATTTAGAAGTAATTAATATTACTAAATCTCCTAAGTATTTTCTAAAAGGATTCAAAAAGAGATGAAGGATTTTTTGAGGAAAAGTTACAGCTGTATCCTTTAGTTCAGAGTATGAGAAAAAGTAAAGGAAAATTCCCTGCAATACATTGATCAGGTAGGTTTACAGACCTTTAAATTCTCAGTTAGATTAATATGATGTACTTTAATGTTATCCTCATTAATGTGTTACTTATAAAGAAACAAGTAAACCAATAATACAGTCATGAGATAATCCATAGTAGGACATTAAAATATAGCTCTGACCAGTGCAAAGAAAGATAATTCTACATTTGACAACTGGAGAGAGAAAGTATAATTTAAAGATATTAACTTTCTAACCTGGCAATAGTATTAAAAGAATATGATCAGTATAGAGAGTAGGAAGATTTAAGAAGGACTATACTGAAACTAAAATTCTGGTTGATTTTCTACTTGGTAACCCAGATTTCCATATTTCATTTGCTTGAGGCTTATGGACTCTACTGAAGAATGTAGCATCTTATACCAAAGCCCAGTCTTCCAGGAGAAGACTGGAGAAGACATTTACATGAATGTGGTAAATGTACAAGTTCTACCCAAAATGTTGCGTTTCTGCAATTACTTAGATTAATTGAGTAACTCTGATTGTAATCTGGAAAGATGGTAAAGAGCAGAAATGTCTCAGCTCACTGAGATTTGAATTTTAAGTAGACTCACCTCTTGTCCTTTTGATGATAGTTACAAGTTTGTACCTTTATCTTTCAGGGCTTTACTATCAGTAGCCCACTTCTGGTCTTATGGCATTGAGAAAACATTAGTTTGACCTTAAAATTCAATAATGAGTTAAGCAGAATAAATAGCTACACAGGCCAGTCCAAGGTCGCAGAGCTTCTGTTCCAAATTTTCATGTACTTCATGCATATGCATATGCATATGGTTCAGTTTTTAGAAAGAAAGGATTATAATCAGGATAGAAATGAATATTGGAACCCTGACATTTTGCACATTGCTCTGTGTAAAGGGAAGACTGCAGAATCAAATTCTGGATGTCCAAATGTGCTCAGAGTACCAACACACTTTACTTCCTACTTCAGTATTCTCTAGGACATTGTACACATTTGACAAAAGGGCTGCTGATAAAGCAGAAAGCCCCAGCAGAATGTTTGCTCCTCGGTGAGGGAGGAGGAGGTTAATGTTAGATAAATCCTAGAAATTCAGCTCTGCTCGATGATCATGATATTGACATCTCTTGGTTTGTGGGAGGTTCACTCCAATATCCATGCTATGGGGAAGAAAAGGAGGGGTGCAAGTGGGACTTAACGATCTGTCTGGAGCAGGCTCGTGAGCAAGGCCAAGATTATACATATTAGAGAGCATATCTTATGCTAAGAAAGATCAGAATCAGTTGTGGATTTAGGAAGCATGGCCTAATTATTGTACAGGCAAATCTTACTTCTAGTTGAATCTCAGAGCAAGGCAAGCATATTATTCTTCCTCAAGCAGTGGTTTTCAAAGTGTGGTCCTAGGATCTCTGCTGTATCAGCCAACACCTGTCAACTTGTCATAAATCTGAATTCTTGGACCCTACTCCAGACCTACTGAATCAAAACTCTGGATATGGGCCCAGAAATCTGTGTTAACAAGACCTCCAGGTGATTCTCATGAGTTCTGAAATTTGAGGTATGACCTTTCCTAAACCCCCAGACCCTGTATCACCAGAATATATTCCTCTAAATCCAGAGTTACTGTCAGAATTTTTTTATTTTATAATAATTTTGATAAGTCAATTAGAGAAACTGAATCAAATATGCTGATGAAAAACGTATGTTGCATCCATCTGTTTATATGAATTCTATATGGACTACTCCTCCTCCCAGTTTTTTTCTTTTCAGTTTTCATCGTTCAAGTGAGTAGTTGTATGTATTGGCTCTTCTGCATATTGGAAGTCTTAAGGAATATCTCTTATAATATTTTATGGTTTACAAATAATTATAGGGGTGTGTATGTATGTTTGTGTGTGTGTGTGTGATGTTTGCAACATTATCTATTCTATTAGTAATTGAGGAAGGAGATGCTCAGGCACTTCTTGCATTCTGTTGCATTTCATGTTGTCTTGCATGAAATTAAAGGGGTTGAACTTGATTTCTGAATTCCCTTCCATTTTTTAATATCTAAGAATTCTAAAATTGCTGCATGTTTTCTCTAATACCCTAGACACCTTTGTGAACATTGGCTTTGCGCCGCTATTGTTTGTACTTTGAGCTGTTTGAGGACTCCTCCATAGATACAGACTTTACATGAAAAGTGGACACAATAACATGCTATCTGTTTCACTAAAGGTAGAGCATTTGTTAGATATCATAATATATGAATTGTATTTTTTACACTATCACAAACCATAATTTGGATTCATGATCTAACTTTATATGTAAATCCTTCATCAAAACACACCACAATTTACCTCTGATTTTATTTTTTTCTTTTCTGCTTAGCACAGGCCTTTCACCCCAGCCAGGCTAGTTGTTTGTTATTGTGAAAACATGTCTTATTTATTCCTACCTTTTATTACCTTGTTTCTTCCTACCTAAATTTCTTCCTTTCTATTACCAAACTGATAAAATGAGACTGGCCCAGATACCACTGCCTCTTGTTCTATTCTTTTTACAGTGATCCTTCTTATCCTCTAAGAGTAAGGTTTATGGCTCTCTTTTCATTGCTGTATGCCCAGTACCTAGCATACAACCTGTCGTGAAATCATGCTTAATATGTATTTGCTTATTGGATTCATGAGTAGCTCCTGGATTATTCTTTTTATTCACTGTATTCTTAGCACATGATACATACCCAGTAAATGTTTGAGTGCTATTGAAGAGATTCATTTCTAAGCCTCCATATTTCTGCTTTTTACTGGGTATGGAATCAACTGTCCTTCACTTGTTTAGTATCAGAACAGTGCTTTGGCTATCTGAACGAAAAGTTGGTGTTCAAATCAGACTATGAACATTCCTGTAGTCAAATTGGCAAAGCCCCCTCAAGTGCTCTTTGGTAAACTTTGATCCTCATCCTTGTAGAACTCAGCAGATTTTTGATGGACACTGTGTAAATGAAATGCTGAATGGAACTCATTTTAGGATATTTCAGACTAACAAAGTTAAGGATACCCAGTAAGCTTTTTGCTTTCTGTCTCTTTCCTTGTAAGATGGAGATAAAAGAGGTTGTGATTGTCGTGACGGCTAGTGCCTGATTTGACTGCTCCTCCCCAGAAAGTCTCGATTTTTGGCTTCCTCACAGAGCTGCCTGGGATGCAGCCGGCCCTCTATCCCCAAGCTCTGGGGCCCACCCAGCTTCCTTCTGGCACTGAAGGCAGCGGCTGCTCCGCCACCCTTCTCTTCAGATAAGCATGGCTTGGAAATGCTATCTTTAGAGGTGATGAGTTTTTGTTTGGATAGAATTATGACTAGTATAAAGCCCACACATGCTAACAAGCCACAGAGTGCAAAATAATTATTGAAAGTAATTTGAGAGAAAAGTGGAAAATCATCTGAGGAAAAAAACAAAATTGTTCCCAAAGCTTGATCCAATTTTTGCTGTTAGATTGAATCTTGAGCCTTAGTTTTCTGCTGCCAGGTAATCCAGGCATTGATGGCACCGCTGTTCTCTTCAGCCTTTCCTCCTACCCCCAATTTTTACTCTTGATTAAACCTTTATACCTGACTTCTTTACATTTTATTATGAGTTGGTCAGAAGAGATACTACATACCAATCTTACCTTTCAGTGGACAACCAAGAAAAAGAATTACATTTTGATGTGTGTCATTTTAGACTACAGATTAGCTCTGCACAAGTGCTTAAATATATAATTTCAAACCAATGATACTGTCTGCTCACTTTGAATTAGTTCTGATGGTACCTTCACATAACATGGGGAACAGGCATAATACATAAGAAATAATATATACCTGAGAGGTCTTCAATGAAAATTTTTCCTTGAAATGTAACAGAGAAAGCGAATAGAATAAATTCCCATAATGCAAAGGGATGACAGGTACACGCCAATAGTATCACAGAGTACAGATATAACACAGGGTTGGTTGGGAGGGCAGCTTCTAAGCAGAGAAAGAGCAGATCCCATACAGTCCCCTGACCTCTCCTTTATTACACAGCATGGGTTGGGCAGGGGTATTCTAAGGCCTCAGCAGAGGCTGAGGGCTCAGCAGAGGGAAGCCTGCCTGGTCACACGTTGGATGTGTACGGAGAGCATTTCAAGAGTGAAAACGAGACCTGCCCCCACATTGCCTCATAAATTCATAGGCTAGCTGAAGAGGAGGTAGAAAACACCATTTCTTTAAGTAACAAGAAATATGGCAGTGGTTCTCCAGACTAGGCAGCATGCAAGTTGAGGACCCTAGGAATAGTCTTGTGTGCCAGGAAGAATGACATCAACCAAAGCTGATTTAGACCAGGCAAGCTTCTGCTAAGCTACTGAAAGAGGGAAAGCAATGACCCTCCAGGGCCTTCCTTTTTTTCTCTCTTCGGTTCCCATTTGGTCAGGAAAGCGACCTAGCTCTTCATCTCTCCACAACTTAAATTTTCATTTCTGGAGTTAGGGCCAATGATTCTAACAGTTTTAAATGACCCCAAATAGTTCTCTAACCTTGAACATTCCTAGTTGACACATTTGAAAATAAATGCATGAAATAGGAGCTATAATCTGTAGATACTACTTTTAATTTTTGGTACATGGGAAAAGGCTAATGATAACATTATTGTAAATTAAACTAGGATGTTTCAGTGCTACATAAGTTTATCTTCATCCCAAAGATATACTTTTAAAACGTTTGTTGTTCAATTGCTAAGTTGTGTTCGACTCTTTGTGACCCCTTGAACTTCAGTGCACCAGGCTTCCCTGTCCCTCACTATCTCTTGGAGTCTGCTCAAACTCATGTCCATTGAGTCTGTGATGCCATCCAACCATCTCATCCTCTGCTGCCTTCTTCTCCTTTTACGTTCAATCTTTTCCAGCATCAGGGTCTTTTCTAATGAGTCAGCTCTTCTCACCAGGTGGCCAAGGTATCAGAGCTTCAGCATCAGCATCAGTCCTTCCAATGAATATTCAGGGTTGATTTCCTTTAGGATTAACTGATTTGGTCTCCTTGCTGTCCAGGAGACTCTCAAGAGTTTTTTCCAAAACCACAGTTTGAAGGCATCAATTCTTTAGCACTCAGCCTTCTTTATGGTCCAACTCTCACATCCGTACATGATTACTAGAAAAACTATAACTTTGACTATATGGACTTTATTTATGAATAAATGAATATATGAAACATTTATACCCTTTGGAGAAGGGTGGAATATTGCATTGAAGAAGAAATCTGAGGAATAGAACAAAAGCTTATAATGAGTCTTAAGTGGAAAGTACTCCTGTGTTCTGGTCCATACAGGGAGATATCTTCTGCTGTCTGTTACCAAGTCTCTAGAGCAGTGGTTCTCAAAGTGTGGTCTTCAGACCAGCATAGTCAGCATCACCCAAGATGTGTACTTAGGCCCTACTCCAGATCGACTGAATCAGACTCCGGAGATACAGCCCAGTAATCTATATGTTTAATAAATCTTCCAGGTGATTCTGGTGTAAACAAAAGTTTGAGAACCACTGCTCTAAATACACCTCTTATTCCTTTCTAATAGACCATTCTGGGAATGTAATTTCAACTTTACAATAATGAAAATGATTACCAATACATTTGTCCTTGTAAAATTTAGATTTTTTGTTTTAATCTGCTTGGAAATTAACCATATTTTACATTGAATGACATGAAGGAGATTGTTGTTAGCATTTAAATTGCTTTGTGGTATGAGACTCTCATTAATTACTTCTGTTCTTGGTAGCTGATGCTTTATTGAAAGGACCTGTGCTAGCATTAATAAATGCAAACAAAGTGGAAGGTTCTGAGGTTAATGAGATAGTGAAATATTAATTTCTGTTTCTTCTTTAATGTAAAATGGAGGCTCATCAGATTCACACTGTATATTTTACATTTGTCTTTCCAGGAAGAACAAAGTATGCTAGCTATGGAAGATGAGGGCACAGTGCAGCTCCCCCTGGAAGGGCACTATAGGTAAGATATAAATGTAAAAACACACCAATTGGAGTAATGTAATATGTTGTTATATACGCTACTTGAGAATTTCATATGTGTGGATTCCTACTGGGGTTTGTTGAAGCTGTGTTAGAGCGGAAAGAACTCAAACTGGGTATTAGATTATCCTGCCCCAGTTCTGCCACTAAAAGCCGTGTGACTGGCTAAGTAGCTTAAAATGAAGTGAGGTGGAAACTGTTCTCTTAGGTCTTGTATTTTATAATGAGCATGAAAGTTCTTTCATATTCTCTTAAAGTAGCACCTGAAGACAGATCAGTATTCAATTCTGGAATAAATGAGTTAGGTATTCACTAAAGCCATCACATGTAAATGTTTGAACTCTGGGAGAAACATAGGATTTACCCCTACTGAAAGACACTTCCAAAGAGATAATCTATTTCCTGAATTGAAGGATTCAGTTATACTAGTAATTTTAGGAAATATTTATGTAACTCTCCAAAATATGCTAATCTTCTTCATGCACAGACACATAGCAAAAAAAGCAAACTCCTCTAAGTTATAATAAAAATGTTTGAAAGTATTTGGCAAAAAATTATATATATATGATCCCAAAGTGCTTAAGGATAATTTAGGGCCATGCCAAGAAAAAAGCATAGAAGGCTTTTGACTAAGGAGGAAATTTTTCATAGTGTTAAAAAAATAGGAGTGGATCTTCAGGGTCTGACTAAAAGATAATATTTCCTAGATATAAAAAATAAAATTATCATCTACCACTTAAGAGTGAGCACAAGTACAAGACAGAAGACATTTTTCCCTTTCTCCCGCTTTCTTTTTTTAAAATAATATTTAAGTTTTAAAATCCTGTTGATTGTTTAGCTGAATCAGCATATTCTCAACTGTATTCTACAGAAATCTGCCTAGTTTCCTGTGATACCCCTCTTAAAAGGATTTTGTGGTTTAATAAGTCTGAAAAATGTCCTATACCACATTCCAGTTTAGAGATTCACAATGCACATTGGCATGTTAAAGAATCTAACTAGTATTGGCATTTTTAAAAAAAGTTTAACTTTGTCGTAGCCAGCATTTTTTAAACTCTTTTGCTCACAAGACTCTTTTTCACACAATGTTATGAAAAACTTGTATTCTCCATGACTCTTCTGGAAACTAGTTGATCTCATTCTTTGAGTTACCAAGGGCTGGATGAATGAGAGGTGTTAAGAAACACATGTCCAGATTAGGAAGGAAGGAGCCTGTGAGAACTGTTTTGCCCCAGACTCTCAGTGTTCCTCTTAAAAATTTAATTTGTTGCCCTCTTGTGAATATCCACAATGAGGGGTATGAGAGATCAGTTTAGGATTTCTGTAGAACATGACTTTTTCTATAGCAGAGTATCATTTTTACCTGTGGTAGAAAAGAGTACTGATTTCTCACACAACGAAACTTTCTTTGGCTTGGACTGTGTTTTTTATCTGTTGATATTTGGTTGCCTTTCTGGCCCTGGGAATGTTTTAGAGAGTTCTAAATGGACAGTTTTAAATAGTGCAGTTTTAAAATGTAAAAAAAATGCATCCAGCATAGTTACAGGCCCTAATATTACAGGCTCCCCTAGCCACTGAATAAAATATTTGTTGAGTAGATACCAAATGTCAGACTTTATCTGGGTCATGGAGAAACAGCAGAGGACCAATGTTCAAGAATCTTTGTTCTCATGAAGCTTGCATTCAAGTAGAATAGAGGTGGGGGAGACAGAAAATACATAAATGAACAAGTAATATAATATAGTATTTCAAATGGTGAAAAATGAAACAAAAATACAAAGCAGAAAGAGGGATGAAGTTGCTACGGGGAGATGGAAACAGAAATTTTAAATAAATCAATCAACAAAGGCCTATCGGAGCAGGTGATGTTTGAACTAAGAATGGAAAGGCTTATTTATATTGGGTTGGCCAAAATGTTTGCTTGGGTTTTTTCTTAAGTTATGGAAAAATGCTAACACACTTTCAGCCAAACCCATACCATATAAAGGAACATGATAGGCAGAGGAAGAGTGAGTACAAGACCCCGAGGGAGCAGCCAGCCTGTAGGGTCCCAGGACAGTCAGGAGGCCGTCATGCTGTAGCCGAGAGGAAAGAGCAGGGGTGTAACACAGAAGGTAAAGTTGTAGGGGAAGCAAGCCCTACAAGCCCTAAAGCCCACGCACTGGGCTTTTACTTAGAGTGGGTGGGCCCACTGTGGAGTCTTAGCAGAGGGGTGAAGTGCTATGCTGGGCTATGAATATAGGGGCAAGAGGCCCAGCAGTGAACATGCAGAACCTAAACTCCGTCATTGGGAAAGAATTAGGAAAACTGTACCCCAAACCAGTTTGTGTGTAACTAGAATCTTTCATTTAGATTTTTATTTTTCATAGTTGTGAAATTGTTTAGAGAGAACAATTATTAATAATACTTAATTTTTAATTATCAAAAATACTGTACAGAGGCATAATACTGTCCTATATTTAGTGTCTGTGGTTAGATAACTGCAGTTTCTTATTTAATGTTTATTATCTCATTTTGGGTAAACTCCTATCTAGAGATGATCCATCTGTGATCAATATTTCTGATGAAATGTCAAAGACTGCCTTGTGGAGGAACCTTCTGATTACTGCCGATAACTCAAAAGATAAGGAGTCAAGCTTTCCTTCTAAAAGGTTTGAATTCTAAAATAATGTGAATTTGTACTGAACCCAGTCATTTAATGACATGACTCCATGAGCAAAAGAATAGTATTGGTTTCCATTTAACTTAGTTCTAAAATATTTCAGAAAAGTAAAAAGTGGTTAGAAATCACAAAGATCCCATTTGTTGATATGTTTTCAGTATCTCCCTTTCAAATTAAAAGCTCACTCCAAAACTATGACAGTGGGGAGAAGTAGGGCTATAAATGAGTTTCAATGCAGGACATTTTTGGACATTCACTTTGGCCTACTCTTTGACAGAAGGATTTTAGTGTATTCCTTCATCATCCACTTCTTAGGACCCCCTTAGATGTCTGACCATATTTTGCATTCTCCTGTTGTTCCTTTTAAAACCCATATGGCACCTGCAATGGTAATTTTGTATTTAGTTTATTTCCAGTCCCTTATTCCAGCCCTGAAAAATCTTCCCTAACCTTTTCACCTCAAAACTTTCAGCTCCAGAAAGTTTTATGCATTTTCCTTCTCTGTATGCAAACATTACATACAACTCCTATAGCTGTGGATGACAGTTTTAAATGCATGAGGTGGGAAGAATGTGTTCTTAAATACCAAGAGTCATCACAGGATTTCCAAAATGCATTTTCCAGAATTTATAAGTAAGAGTTCAAACCCTCTTGTTTTCTTAGATGTTGATCTGAAGAAAAATCTCTGTGTTATGCTAATATTTCTTCTTATTAAGAGAGAGTGAAGGATTTGGAACAGTGTTTAATTATTAATTTCCTTTATTTTCATGACCTTAAATTAACTTTTTCTACTTAATTTTTTATATTACATTTTTGTCATAAGCTCCCCTTCCTAATCACTCTAGAAGCTGATTTCCCAAAGGTAAGACCCTTTCCCTCAAACCTATTCCTTGGTTGCATTTCCTTTTGTTAAGTGGTGTCTTCTAGAAACCTGGTCAGCCTATGTTTTTTGTGTGTTTTGGGGAGGCAAAAGGTGTGTAGAGTCTTGGGCTTAGGTCCAGTATCAGACTGTTTACAGTGTTCGTATAACTACTCAGCTCTTTAAGAGTGTTTGCAACTTGAGTACTTTTTTCCCCCACTTCACTTATATAAATGCATCGTATATAAATCAGTAAACCTCGTAGAACTGTATTTTGTGATAACATCAGATTTCTATATTGGAAAAATAAAATTTATCCCTTGAATTAAGAAATTGCAAAGCTGACAGCTTTCATTTACCATGCCTCCAAAACTGCAAGCTTTATCTTCATGGTAATGATTTGGAAGCATGGGTTTAGAAGAAGAGGCAACATTAAACTTAGAGACTATCTCTTGTTGCTGGTTTTTGTCACCCCAAAATGGCATGCTGCTTCAGTGTCATATCTATGTCAAACAGCAGTGGATGTGCAGAGAGCCTAGGGGTCTTCACCCCATAAAGCTGGGGATTACTTCCAGTTCTCTCTCCCTCCTTCTCCCTCTTTCTCCCCATCTCCCTCTCTTTCCCTCCTTCAGATACCTCCAACACTTGTTCCAAAAGTTACTTGACAGGTTCTTTCAAAGACTTCTGGTTGATATTTTCTGTCTTTTAACAGGGCTTTAAAATCTTTGTGTATTTCTTCACTTGGCTCAAGTGGAAGTAATATTCTAAGCCCTATTTATTCTAAGCCGTGCTTGATCTTCCTTCCCCAAAGATCCCTGCTGCAGTCTTATAGAGTCATCCTCACAGTGATTCTGTTTTGCTAGATGTCTTGGAAGAAAATCAGAGTCATGAGAAGGGTAGTTTCTCAAAGATATTGAAATATATGCTTGGGGACCCTTTCTCATTAAAAATATGGCATTTTTCTGATTTTTAAAAATATGAACCCCAAGTTTATGAGCTCAAAATAAAATTCCAGGCATAAGAAGATGTGGAAAATTTGAGGCAATCAAATTTAGAGATTGCTTTTCTTCCTGCAATATAGATGAAAACGCTTTCCCTATTTTCCTTTGGTTCAAGCAGCAGTTTTATGTCATGATATTTTAGGTACTCCTTAAAGTAAATGTCATGTGATGCTTTTCACCAGAAAAATTCAATTGTTTAAAATATCTACGTCAGATTACTTCTCACAGTAGATTAATTCCAGTGAACAATGTACCATGCTTAAAAGCAGATCCAATTTTAAATAGATCGTCCTTTATATTTTCATATAACGACTTTTTTTTCTTATTCTTTGAACATATGTTCCCACTAGCATAAGATTCAAACTATTGTGGAATGAAAGTTTGCCCAATTTTCTTTACCTTTAAATGTGATAAAAATCTGTAGCATTCCATGTGATAAAATGTCTATTGGTTAGTGATTAATGTCTTCGTAACGGTGGAAACTGGCAGAAAGAGTGTGGCTTCTAGAAATCCTAAAACCACCAATACTAGTAACAGCAACACCCTCCCAAAGCCACTGCTCTCTCTTGGTATCTGTTGAAGGCACTGCAGTCTGATGACTAGGAATTGTACAAATGCTATACCTGCTAGAGTATCCACTGGCAAGAAAAGCCCTAAAGACCAGCTTCCCAGGGTCTGTCTCTCGAGACCTAAGCTGGCTTCCCAGCATCTCTGACACCCCAGCCCTAGTTGTTTCTGCCCTGTTCCCCTTATAGGCCCTACTGCCTATCAGAGAAGCCCAGATACCTTCTTCTGAGTGGCATTTGGAATAGCGGTTATATTTTCTCCATTATTTCATTTACTTGTCTAAAAAAATTCATCCAGTTTAACTGAAAGGAGGATCCAAGAACTGACTGTGGGCTCTACCACATCTGTGGGGTGTCCCATCTGATCCTAGTTCAGCAGTGCTATACAAACCTGTGACAAGCTCCTCCACAGCTTATTTAAGTGAACTGGTGTACACCGGTCCCCATTAAAATCCGCATTGACTCAAGAGTAGCTGGGCAACTGCTCTGGTAAGCTGACCCCCAAGAGCAGCATTTCTTGGGCAGGTACCTGGCAGCACTTGGTTTTGTTTTGGGGGCAGAGGTGGGATCGAGGGCCTCTCTCGCTGCTTTCCTCTGACCCTCCACCCCACCCTGCTCTGTGTTGGATGCTTCTTCATGCTCTTTTGCTGGGCCTCAGCCCTCTCATGACTGCTTGGTAAATGTTGTGTATATCAGCTATTATGGTGTCATTGACAAATAACAGTTTCATAGCTTGCTTCGCAGCATGAAGGTAGTGGGTCATGTTTTGCCCTCCCTTGAAATATGATTTCCTTATGTTTTGTCTCATCCATCTGTGTCCCCTGATCCTTATAGAGTACCTGGTATATAAGAAGTATGCAATATGTGTTAATTGTGGTAGCATGTAATAGATATGATATAAATTTAATACATACATGTAATGTATTTGTTACAATGGAAGTTTAGAATTGGTTGGCATCCTGAAAATGATGTAGCAAGGAATAGAGTAATAACCATGCACTAAGAAGATTCAAGTCAATAATATTTTTCATGGAAATCTTGAGCAAATTTTAAAATTTTTACTTCATTGATGAAATATGACCTGATGCCAAAACTACTGGTTTTAAAGGGCAGGGTGGGCAGGGAAGGGGGGAAGCCCAATCCTTTAATTGGTTATTGTTTTGTCACAAACAACCAGTATGACCAAAGCAGGACATCAGAAGGAAGCATGTCTGTGAATGAAATTGACATTCTGAATGGCTTTTTTTTTTTTTTTTGGTGGCTAATGGTGCTGTGGGAGTTTGCTCATTTATCAAAAGGTTATGGAGCATAGTGCACAAGGGAATTGTGCATGTGTAGAGACCAGTATGTCTCTGTCTCCACAGTCTCCCATAGATAGAATATGCTTTTCTGTCTTTCAAAAGATAGAGCTCGCTGGAATTGAGACTATTAGCCTCAGGATTCTGGTACTCAAGCTGCAAGAAAATGAGAGGCCATTTGGTCCAAAACTAATTGACAGATGAGGAAACCAAGTCCCAGCTAAATTAAATAACTAGTCCAAGGTCACATAGCTCCTTCTTTGCTTCCGGAACTGAATGCCATCATCTGACTCCCAACCCAGGGCTCCCTCCACTGTTCTGTGCTGCCCCTTTTCATTGGCTGTGTTTGCCAGAAGAGACTGGGAGGCAGGTAGTACCCAGGGAAAAGTTAATTTGGAAAGTAGGGTAGCAGACACTTGTCATCTGAAAGGAACTTAAAGTAGAAGAAAGTGAGTCATGCAGATAGAGGAGTTAAAAATACAGAGTTAAGCCTCTCAACACATCATGTGCACACTGTCATCTTTTCTCATGGAAGGAGAAAAGAAAAGAGAAAAAGTTGCTTTGCTCTGACCTGTAAGGAGTGTGTGCTGTGAAGTGTGGCAGGCACAAACCCGGGTGCCATAGACACCCGCTCACACCAGCTCTCAGCGCTGGCAGCGTGCCACAGATGGCAGAAGCTCCAGCACTTCTTACCTGATGGCGCCGGGTGGTGGTGACAACTGAGAAGGGCTGTTTCTAGCTTGAATCGGAGGAAAAAACAATTTAAAAAACACATTCTTAGAATGTGTCTAAGTTATTGACCACTAAGAAAGCTGCATAGGAAGCCCCGTAGGAGAAAGGGGCTTTTAACTGTCACTTTTTTTTACTTGGAGGAGAGTTATATAAAACCAAGGGTTTCCCCACCATCAACCATTTCATAGTTATACCGAGCCAAAATTAGCAGTAAAAATGTATGGGTTCTTGCAGCCGAGGGACCCAAAGGCTGACTGTGGGTTGCCCTGGAGTCAGCAGCACGAGAGGCCGGGGAGAGGACTCAGAGTGGGGCTCGCCTGTGCTGGACACAGTTGGGAGGGAGCCGGGCTGCCCTCTGGAGCATGTGCTCTTGGTGTGAGCTTCATGCGTGTCAGCACATTATTTGAATTTTGCATAATGACTGTCAACTTGAGATTAGGTAAAGTGTGCATTGGAAAAATATTTTTTAAAAAATGAGAGAGTCACATTACCAGGTTGCCCATTGATAAAGTTAATTGGCGAATAGTTAAAACAGAAGCCACTTGGGAATGGGTTTGTTCCAAAAGGAGTGAGGTGAAACATGATCCCTCTAATGGACAGGAGGAGTTTGTGAGGAGATGGCATGGGTGTTCAGAGGGCAGTGTGCAGGGCGACCGGGTCCTCCAGACCAGCGGAGGCGTGCCTGTTCCCCTGACTGCAATGCAGTTCTCACGCAAGATCAGAATCCAGTCTGTTCACAAAGGATGCGCCACTTGCAGCAGGCCCCAGAAATACCTACTGTGACATCTTGTTTATGTCATTCATCGTACAGTGCTATCTTAAGACAGGGAGGGGCATGCCTGGCATTTGCAACAATCATCAGTGATTCATTTGGCCAAGTGAGGACCATGGTATTAATCTTGCATGCTTTGGGGGCTGTTTTTAAAATGTCTGGTTTTGTGTTTTAGTTTCTGTTTTCTGAATTTCCCTTTTCTGCAGTTCTTGGTTTCTACCTCACTGAATGCCGAGGATTTTAATCGTTGCTATCAAGGCTTCACAGCATGAAAAAACAATGCCTAAGGGCCCTTGTGGTCATTGAAATTGATGGGTTTTGTGTCTGAATGAGGTCTCCCAGGGGCCTCACTGGATTGAAGTAATACATTTCTCCTTTCTCCCCTGTAGCATTGAAAGCCGAAATGAGAAGAAAGCTGACTCAGGGAAAGGTGTTGACAGGGAGACTTGTCTATGACTGATCTTCAGTTTATTTTTTACATATATAAGAGAAGAGTGCCACAATTATTCATAAAACTGCTTTGATCATGTATTATAAATTCTGTCTTTCATCTCAAATCCACCTTCATACTGTAAGTAGTGCAATACTTGTTTCATTACTGTGTTTAAACTTCTGAACAGTGAGATACCCTTGTGAGCATATAGAAAAGCTAATGCAAGAATCACTGTGTTCCTTGCTGTATTTTAGACATTTGTAAACACTAGATTCTCATTGTCAGTTTTATGAGAGCAATAGCTTTCTTAAAGAGATAAGTCATATTTACCTAGTTTGTATTTTCCTACTTAGGGACCTGAAGATACCTGATAATTTCATTCAGAAGAATTTTGGAAGGTAGTCTTACTTCTTTTTATTTTTTATAGCTTAGCATTAGTGACTTATTTCAAAATACCCAAATCAAAAAGTTAGTTTGAAAGCATTTTTAATAATTGTATTTATGCATTTCCTTGATTTAATATGATATTTAATACTTAAGAATTTATATGTAACTAAAACTTAAAGTCATTTTGAAAAATATATATGGAAACCTATTCACAACTTGTTTAAAAGAATCAGATACTAATGCAAAGAACCAAGTAGTATTTCCTTAATATTCAAGTTTTGATTACATGATCAAATACTAGGCTTGTATGAAATGCTTTAGAAAAACTTTGTAGGTTTTGTGAGATTTTCAATATAAATCTTTATCAGAAATATACTGTTAAATTTATCTCCCATTGAAAACAAGTCTTTTCCAAATAAGCCTATTATATACATACTTATGGAATGCCACGTGGTGAGTCATTGTATATGAAATTCCACTCCTGTACATTTATTCCACTGCTAAAGGTCATGGACTGCTTAATGCTGCTTCTGAATCATGTTCTAATGTTAGACTGACGGTCTCCAATTGTCTTTTTTTTTCCTGCAGAGCTCTTTTCCACTTCTTAACTAAATGCATGTTGTAGAAAAATAATCTTTTAAATGAAAATCTCAGATTCTGTTTGAGAAGCTTCTATAGATATTTCAGTCTATATGAAATAATTCATCTTTACTAAGTTTATACAAGAGGAAGGAAAGTATAGAATTTTTGAGTAATGTGAATTAATAAAGATGAAATCTCATAGTGCTCTTGTTTCCTAAGAATTACCAATGATCATCAACCTTATAATCTTCAGTGTCTAGTTTTGCAATAATTCAGAGCCTTGTGGCTTTTCCAAACTATTTATTAATATTCTGAGTATAAATGTACATGAAAGTGAAAAAAAACCACAGATCTTCTGGTGATTAAGCTTATGAAGGAAATAAACAACAGAGCCTCCACTAGGTTCAACATTTTGATACCTTCTGTAATATTCCCCTTGTAATTTTTCAAGGAGCCATTTCTTCAATGGAGCATAAGCCTAAAAAATATAAAAAGAGTTTGTAGTTAATAAAGTCTGTGTTTATAAATGCCAAGGAAAAACTACAGAAACTTTCCATTCCAAATGCATTGCCTTTGTGTATTTTATAATACAGACACTAGATGTAAACATTCCCATTGTTTTATGAGTTAGACTAGCTGTACATGTCAGTCAGTCCCAAAAGCAGCCTTCTAGTGTTTTAATATATTAATAACTATTCTGTTTAAGATGATCATAGTGAATTAAAATCTTCACATGATCACCTATCTGAATAAGCACTCATATCCAATGAAATTCTGTATTTCTGAGTACTTTTATAGTCATTTTGTTCTTGTGTGAATTTTAATGCTATCCCTATGTTAATCTTAATATTTTGAAATCATATAAAATATAAGAAAAGCATAGTGTTATATATTTCCTCCTAATTTTAGATTCCTGGTCAAAATTATTGAATATCTTGACTGTAATTTATTGCAAAGTTTAAGTAATGTGTAAATGTGACTAGGATATTGTGTTTTTCACAACTAAGACATGTTATGTGGAAATAAATATTTATCCTAATTTCCTTGCACATTTTAAATTGTGATGCAAAGTGTCTTGTCTTTTTTTCCTTAGTGTTAATCAGTAAATCAATGTAGAACATTTTGAACATAATATTTAAATTTAGACACAAGTAACGATGTCAAGAAAACTTGGTGATGTAGATGTTTCAAGAGTATTCAATTTGAACTTCATGAACAAACTATGATGAGAGCTATATTAGGATGTACCTCTTCATTTTCCCGGAAAGCAGTGACTTAGATACAAATGACATTGTACTCTTTACTAGTAAAAACTTCCAAGATCATTGGTAAGGTTTCCCATCATTGAAACTCTTTAGACTTCTGTTTTTACCCCTCTTGGGGAAAGCATTTCTTAAAATTTTCATCCTCCTTATTTTTTACAGAAGGTCAGATGGTATTACCGTTCTTTTATAGTGATCTGGCAATATTTTATGGAGGTAACTGCATTCAGGATTCCAATGTAATGGTTAGTAGTTTTTTCTTGACTTATGAATTGACTTTGTAATTGCTATCACTTAACAGCCTTCAATATTGGGAAGTTTTCTCCTAAATATAATTTGAATATCTCCTTGTTGTAGTTTAGCATGATAGAAACTCTCCACTGATGATTCGCTAGCAACTTGTATTTAAAGACAACCCCTAGATCTTTCAGGACTTTTCTTGGCTCTTAAATGTGTGGCTCAGTTTTTTTTTCATCTTCACTCATCTACCTCTGTTGCTATTTAACTTTAGCCTGTTTGCTCTTAGATGTGGGACTATTTTACTATCATTGCAAGAATGCTCTCCAAATTTTCCAGTATATCTCTCTCACATATTCATACAGTGAAATGAGATTATAACCATTTGAAAAACTTATGAGTAATTTGGGTAATATGATGATTCACTGAATATCTACTTTGAAAGGCTAATTGTAATCAGTCCTCTTGAAGAAACCCAATGTTCAAGGATTACTCAAAATACTTTTAGAGAGATCCTTGGGTGTTTTTCTTAGAAAATTGTAGCTCATGGATACAACTGTCCCTTCATTACAGTTTCTATTGGTGTATTAGCCACTTCTTTCTGTGCTGGAACTTTGAAAATAGGACTGTGATCCTTTCTTCTAAGGGTAAGATAGACACATAGCTTTAACATAATGTGATGTGTACAGCGTTGGTTGTACAGTGAAAGCAATGAATAACTCAAGGATGGAATTTTGAGTAGGGCAAACTTTGAAGAAAATGTTATATGAGGTAGCATATGAATTAGGATGGTAATGGGGAAGGAAACCTACTCCAAGAACTGCAGTGATTCTCAAACATGTCAGTGTTGAAAACAATAAAATTTAAAAAGTAAATATATATGGTAATACAGAAGCCTGACATACTTGATAATACAGGATTTGTGGAACTCAGCAGACAGCCCAAAATGGTGGAATGTGAAGGAGACTAGTGGAGACCCATATGAAGAGGTAGGAACACAAGTTGGAGACATTATAAATGTTGTTAAATTCTATATTAGGATATTTCAACTTTATCCATTAAGAGTTTTGAGTAATGAAGAGGCACGCGTTTTGGGAAAGGTTAGTCTGGCAGCATGATTGGAAACATAATGGGGAAAAAGTGAATCCTGTACCCAGGGTGACTCTCAGAGACTCAAACCCAACTATCAGTGGTCTATAAACTTGTCTTATGATTGAAGCCAAACAGGCTGACGCATATTCTGTAGGCACTTAATAAGTAACTCCAGGCACAAGAACTTCATGATACATCCTTTCACATAGAGTATTCCTTTATATAATGTGTTTGGAGTTGTATTTTTTAAAAATGTTCAGAAAAACATGGTATCAACAGTAATCCTGAGACAATTTTAAAAATCTAAGTGTGCAACAAAATTCAGCCAGGGGCTGGCTCATGTGAGTCCAGAAACCACCTTCCCCACTGCTTACCTTTTGATCCCACATTCCTCATCCACTCTTCCCATAGACTTAGCTTTGGATTTATGTATTTTTACCTTCTGGTGTGTGTAGAGTTATAGATTTCTTCCATTTGCTTATAAGGTCTCTAAAGGTAACAATAGTGCTTTATCCCTTCTTAGTAATTCTCTAGAACCTAGCTCTTCCTGTTCTTTGCTGTTTATTCAGCCAGCAAAGGCTGTAGACAGACTTGTAAGTAAAATACATCAGAAGATGTGGCTTCTTAGTTTATTAAGAATGATTAAAGCTCCACAAAGGATTCTCACTGACATGGCAGCACTGGAAGAAGAGCAAATGCTCATTAAGAAACTTTATGTGCCCTTACACCTGCGGACACAAGACACCTATGGGGAGAACTGGTGTAAACCATGAAATCATCAAACCAGGCATAGTGCATAAATCTTCACAACAATGCGATTGTTATGGAAGGTAGGCATTCTAGTATCTCTTTCAAATTAAGTAGCCGGGGTTCAAAGAGGCTAAGCAATGTTCTTTAAAATGTTCCTCACTGTGAGTGTCCATGCTGAGACTGAAAACCACGTCTGTCTAGCCTAGACTGGAGTGCACTGACCGCCCAGCAGGAGGCGCGATGTGACCGCCTCCCGCCTTAACCGGACAGTCATTCAGGTTCATGCAACCAGCACCGCGTTGAATAATATTTCTTCAATATGTTACATTTTACTTGTCACTCATCTTTCTGCGGTTAACACAGGAAACCAAACCTAATCAATGAAAATACTTTTTTCCTCCCAAGTCACAAATATTATGACTTGGGATGTGGTCAGTTGCTCAGCCATATCTGGCTCTTTGCAGCCCGTGGACTGTAGCCCGCCAGGCTCCTCTGTCCATGGAACTCTCCAGGCAAGAACACTGGAGTGGGGTGCCATTTCCTACTCCAGGGGATCTTCCTGACCCAGGGATCAAACTCGTGTCTCTTGAGTATGCAAAGGAGCACACTTAACATGGAATGGGACACACAGCCCTACAGAGGGTTTAGAGGACTCAAACAAGACACCGGGCACATCTGCCAGAAAGTCCAACAAACAAGGTCAGAGGATACTTTAGAAAATCCAATAACCCTATGACCAGGGGTGAGTTAAGAACCGTAAGTCAGCATAACCCTGCCATGCACAGGCAAAATTTATTGGAGTAACTATAGAGTTTTTGTTGTTTAAGTCACACTTTTCATCATACATGCATTTTAAATAATCTGACCAACTTGGGGTGACTGTTCAGATGAAAGATTATTTAGAATAAGAATTTTGATTGAGTTTACTGGAGATTAATTCCAGAAAAAAACATTGTCAATTTAGCAGCAAGAAAATTACCTTTCTTTTTATTAATTCAAAGTTTTGAGTTTAAATGTTAATCCTGTCACAGAAAGGTAGCATCAGAAAGAGGATACATTTCTGAGCATGACATTGGTCTTATTAATACCGTGCTCTGAGCTTTTCTTACGGGTGGTGATGTTACGCTTTACTACTCACACTCATCTCTCCCTTTCAACCATCTGTATCCCTCAGACATATCCTGAATACACACTCCAGATCTTTCAGGATGTATATAGAAATGCGCTCGGACACTGCTGAAAGAACAGTCACAAAATTGGAAACACAAGATTCTCTTACTTTACTCTGAAGAAACCCATTCTTTTTTTTTTTTTTTTTCATTTGTTGTTCATTCGCTCAATTGTGTCTGACTCTTTGTGACCCCAGCACACTAGGCTTCCCAGTCCTTCATTATCTCTCAGAGTTTGCTCAAACTCATGTGCATTGAGTCGGTGATGCCATCCAGCCATCTCACCCTCTGTCGCCCCCTTCTCCTTGTGCCCACCATCTTTTCCAGCATCAGGGTCTTTTCCAATGAGTTGGCTCTTTGCATCAGGTGGCCAAAATATTGGAGCTTCAACTTCAGTATCAGACCTTCCAGTGAATAATCAGTATTGATTTCCTTTAGGATTGACTGATTTTTTTTTCATTTAGAGATTATTCAATCTTAAATATTGTACAAATGTCATAGTTTTATAAATTGGAATGCTCACATCAACTTGGCAAAAGCAACAAATGCCAAATGGTGAAACTGGCAGCCTTAGTGACCACCTGCAGGTAAGAAACACTCAGAATGACATACCGCCTGATGTGATCCCTGGGCTTCATGGTGGTGGCCTGGAGTCATCAGGATGCACCAAATTATGGTCTTTGCCGGTTATTTAAGAAAGTTTGAAGATGTGTAATCATTTTTAGCAAAGTTTACAACAAAAAAAGTTCAAAAATAATTTAAAAAGTGATTTTCTAAAAATCTTGGTCAAAACTTTAAGAAGAAACACTGTATCCATAGAAGAGATGTGACCATTTCTTCCTTCTTCTGGGATGTGCACTCCTGGGTGCTGTTGCGGTCTAGCAGGTTGCTTAGGAAGGCATCTTATCATCCAGGTACCTGCGGAGGCTGCAACAGTTAAAGGCAAGCAACTCTGCACATCTTACTGGCACGACTAGTTCTGTGTTTTTCAAATATACCCTCAGATTGTCTGTCTCTTATTTGTCAATTTAACTTCCTTTCCCAAAAAACTCATCTAAAACTCTTACTGGAGAGTAAAACTGTCTTATGAGGGTCAGATGAAATTTACTTTAACTTCAAGCACATTATCACCATTTGTAACTCTCATTATGTGAAAAATATGTGCTGGGATTTTTTAAATTATCTCTGGACTCCATAGAAAACATGGAACGTGTTTTGAAACTAAAGAAACAATAAATTCATAGAATTTTGATATTGTTCAATACTTGTACACTATCAGATATTATGCAGTGGTCTTAATATCTGTATAGCATCTAATATTATACAATATCTACTGTTGTAAAATGGTCTTATTAGTATCTAAACAATATCTGATATTGTACTATATCTGGTTTCAATTAACATAAAAGGAGAATTTCAATTTACTTTGCTTTTCTGATTACTAAATTCAGTCTGGGATGTGAACATGTAACCTATGATTTCTGTTTCTGGATACAGAACTCTACAAAGATTGGTCTCTCTACTCAAAATGAATGAACTCTATTATCAGAATTATGACAAGAACCCTATAGGTTTGAAGGTTGACTTATGGTTCCAAATGAATGAATAATATATGAGACTTAATTAAGGAAAAACCACTCAATTCTATGTCCTAAAAATACAGTTGAAACAATTTCAGAGTCTTCTGTCCATTCCTATGCATGACTCACCAGTCTCATATTGAACTGATAAATTTTTTTCCAATTCTTCTATTTTTATATTTTTTGCTATAGCTCATCCTGTCTGGGACAACTTTTTCTAACTATGTTTGGGTTTATAAAATCAATTGTTAAAAATGAGGCCGTTTTACAAATAATTGAACAAAAATATTATGTGTTCTCACTTATCAAGACTTTACTTTGCTAGGCTAAATTCAGCATCTTAAATCTATGATTTCATTAATATAGTTATGTCAAACAAAAATAATTAGTTAAACACTTAAGTTGTTGACTTTTTTAAATTTCCACTAAGCCACCTGGGCTATCAAGATGATATTTTTGATATTATGTGCCTCATCATAGTTCCCTGGAATGAAATTATAAATTATATACTACATAAATAACCAAAATTATTTTATGTTGACTTTTTACTTTTTTAAGTTGACTTTTTAAAAGCTTATATATGATAACAGAAATTGTATATATAGAGATATTAGATTAAAACCCTATGAACTGCTTAATTTAGCACATTTCTTTGTATCTATTTCTTACAAAAGCTGAACCCTGTCCATGTTTACAAGGCAGTTTGGGATAAAAAGCAAAATAAACAAGAGCCTTTCTGGGTAAGCATGTCCATATGCCAATACAGTTTAGGTCTGATTCAAGACACAAAACACCTCTGAAAAAAATGAAGGCATATTTATTACTGACCAGGAGAAATTCCACAGTATATAGAATGGGAATCATATTATATACATTTGTAGCTTATTTTCAATTTTTAAAAACAAGTCCAAGAAAGTTAAAATATTCTTTTAATTAGATGCTCAAAGAAATGCAGTAAGAAAAACTGATGCAAAGACTCCTTCAAGTTAGGATTTGCAATACAAATATTTTCATATCTTAACAGGGCAAGCTGATGTGTTCACATCTCCCTTCCAAGCTGCTTCTCTCACTGGGAAACATCAGTATTTTTAAAGCACATTTACAATGCTTTCCCATCACCCTCGCTGTGTTTTCGTAGCACCTATAGCCATAACTGGCACCTGGGGGCCTTGCATTGTTGGCAGTTTCCCTCTCATTTCTTTGGAGTCTATTCAACTGCTGTGGTTTTACTCAGAAGTCAGTGCTTTGCATATATGATTTCCTGAGACTGTTTGAATGGTCTTTCTCAGAAAACTGTGCCAGTCTGGCTGAGAACAGCTCTTCTCTGAGGAGCTGACAGTAGCCTGGTTGGGTCAGCAGGCTTGGACTGGGGTTCACAGCCTTACCCCGCCAGCTTCTCTCCCTAACCCCTCTTTTCTTGCCCCTGCCTCAGTGACATCACTGCCCACATCCTGCCATTCCTTCAAAGAAGAGAACAAGATATGGACTAGTCCAGTTAGAAAATAATGCTGCTCAGGGATCCTCTGCAAAGCTCCATAAAAACAATTCTTAGTTGCTGTTTCACCAGCTGATGTGGAAATTATTTTAAATAATAATAAAAAAAAAACAGACTGAAATTTCCATAAGGTAAGTCTCTTGCAAAGACAGAAGTCCCTATTTCAGGTTATATGGGAACAAGGTAAACTTATATTTCTTGATTTGAGTGTATTTTTTTAAGGCATCATCCTGACAGTGCAGTTTTGAGATAATGAGAGCAAAAGTAGCTTTTCACAAGCTTTAAATGGCATGCCGTTCCGAGGTGCTAAAGTAGAGAGAAGCATTGTTTTAGGAAGTGGCTCATGTGGGTGTATATGTGTTGGTGTGCTGTGCTGCTGGCGATCCCATGGTCTTCATCTGTATACCACTGGGGAGACAAGAGAGAGAGGTCAGGATTAGGAAGTCAGCTGCCTTTTTTTTAAAATCCAGATGAGTTCTCATGAGCATACATGGAATAACACACAATGTTTTAACTCCTCAATCAGTCTGTAAACTGAAACATGATCAAACAGGTTTTCTTACCACCCCCCCACCCTCCCTACCCAGCCCAGACCTTTTCCAAGACATGCAGCTCTGTCTTGCAGGAGTCTCTGATTGTCCTCGGTAACTGCTGAGACAACTCACCATGAGTTTGACTTCACTGCACACTGCTTTAAGGATATGTGTATTACAATGAAAATATCTAAGTCCATTTTCAAATTTGACTCAAAGGACACTTAGAAACTCATCATGCATAGGATGGAATGTTTATCCCATAAAGCCCACTTCAATTAAGTGTTATCAACTGTTAAGTTTCCCCTCCACTGCAGTAAAAAAAACTATTAAATGTTTTTAAAAAGCAATTTTTCCTAATGTATATCACTAAGGAACTAGAAAAATCTACTTCAGTATTCCATATATATGTTTAGCATAAGTGAAGTAAAAAATCAAATGTATTATTTTCAAACACGTAAGATTTTTCACTGGAATTTCTTATCTGTATATCTGACATTTATGTAGGAAGAGTTGATGACCTGAGGCAAAAATTTATCAACTCATACCACCATGTTAAACAAGTGGGGAGTCACTGCCTGGAAAACATATATCATGGAGACATAAATTAACTTTCAAAAATTGCTTAAAGTATCATGTCTTTTCTTTGAACAGTGGAAATATACACCACAACCTCATAAGAATCTAAGCCCCAAAATATATGCCATGCTTTTTGGTATCAAATGACTGTCCCGCTTTTAAATACAGTAGGTATTGATTGAACTGAGCACAGAGCAAAGTGTGTATGTTAAAACAGAGTGAGGGGAAGCAGGCTATTAAAGCTAATACAGACAAGAAAGCTCTTAACACAAAAATATTTAGTGCAACACACACATATAATCTTTTTTTTCTCTTAATCTGAAAAGATCTAGTACATAAAATGAATTTTGCTTAATACCTAGAAACATCCTCTGAACAGGCAACAGCAACTCTCTAGCCATTTCTGACTTTATAAACCCAGCCTAATTGTTTATTACCTATAGTTGCTCAACAAAAGATAACATGGAAGTTGCAAAAACTGAAAACTTGCTGATTATTATACCTCACCTTTGTTAGAAGGGCTAGTAACACATACTAGAGATGGATTTTCATATTTGAGCTGAGCGATTATCATGCTGCTTTCACTTTAGAATTACTTCGCCACACTTTTCACTGGGTAAGTGATTACTTTTGAGTCAAATTAGGGAGAGACGGGACAGTCATAGGGCTAGAAGAGCAATCACAAGACTAGGGATCTGACACTCACAAGATATGCAATATTGTGCTTTTCAACCCCCAACTGATATTGAACATGACTGTGTTTCTGGCTCAAGTATATCACTTCTTCAACTTCTTACTGGAAAAATAAGACTCTTTTTTGCTTTTGTCCCTTTCCCCTGGGACCTTGATGAGAGAAGTAATCGTGAGAGGGGAAGCAGACCCCACCAGGAAGTTCCTTCCCCTTGCAGGAGGCTTTGCTATATACCATTGACTGGAAATCCACGCCAGCATCCACCAGGGCTCTGGTGATCTGAGCTGACTGCTGAAAGTGAACGTTATCTGCAGGGAGAGAAAGGAAACAGAAAGTAACTAATAGCTGCTCCACTTTTCTGGTAGGAAAAGGCACAAGAAGAAAGGGGGCTGTCTGAAGTTCTAGGACTCAGCATCCCATTTATCCCAAGACAAGTGAGTTGTGGAAAGCAACACTGTTTTATTGAAGTAAATGTAACAGTCTTGCCCCTCATGCTTTTGTTTTGTCAGTAGTGAAATTGCAAACCTGTCTGTGATACTAAAAAGTCTAATTAACTGAAACTCACCATCTGCTGTTCCATGAATAAGGAGGTACTCAACTTGTTTAAAATTTTCAGCTCTGCTCATGACTGTTGAATTCTGGAATTGGGAAAAAGAATGTCATTATTCAAAAAAAGATCTGCCATAAACTGATTTTTCACTTCAGTTTACAAAATAAAATGTTTTCAGCTGGGGCCCCCTTTGATACAAAATATAGCAAACCGATATTCAAGCAAATGCTGTCTCCATGCAAGGCAGAATGCACAGCATGCCCTGTGATTGGGAGAAGGACTGGAAAGCGAGACTGCCACATCTTCCCTGCACATGCAGAAGAGCGCCCCTGCCACCCAGGCCGCATGCAAAAGCCCTCGGGTCCCAGATCCCAGGTTGGCTGGGTCCTCGGCATTAGCACAGGGCAGAGTCTCATATTAGCAATGTATGTTCCATGGGCTTATGCTGTAGTTCAGCCAAAAAGTGTATTGCCATGGCAACCATGTGTCACATGGTGCCATACATGCTACATTTCAAAGAGCCTGTACATAGCATTTGCAACTAAACATACTCTGCAATATGTCATATGAACTTTGGTCCACATTGCTAGGCTCTGAATGAGAAGCAGGCATTACCTTTTTTGAAACAGATGTTTGAAACCTAGGCAAATGTAACATATGGGAGGGTAGAGTGGGGACAAAGATCAAATATGGCCTTAGAAATATCAGTGGCTGGTTGTCTGCCTCATTCTGTCTTCAGGAGAATGTCACTATTGGACCAAGCCAGGTAATTAGGAGAAAAAATTGGGAGGTCAGCTTTTTGAAGGCTGCTTCATAACCTTAGGAAGGACTTCTAAAATGAGGCTGGGGTCTCAAATGAAAACGCTTTGAAAGTATGGAATTAGTCATCTGGTCTTAATTTGGAGATGTTTGCAGAGCTGGGATGAAGGTAAAAATGTCACAGACATTGTGGTGACTTTGGGAAGGCATGAGCTGGAGCCTACTTTTGTTGTCTCGTTATGAGTTGGGCAGAGGAACGGCCATTAGCCTCCCAACAGATTTCAAATCAGTCAACTTGTCCTGCAGCATCTTGGTGAATCAAGTCAACTTTATGAGAGGCAAGGTTTATATTTCACAGATATCTTTGTAGCTAACATCAGGATGGGAACCCTGAAGGTCTGGCAGGAAGAGGATGGGGCTATGGTCCGAGTGGTTGTGTTCTAGCTCCAGCTTCAATATCAGTGAACTATGCACCAGGAGACATGCTGCGGAGCACTGTTGTGTTTGAAATGGGAGGAAGATTAACTCCTCTTACTGTTACTGAAATAGGAATCAAGAGACGTGGCTTTTATTAAGTATAGATTACTGATACTGATGTCAGGATGCTGTAACAGTGTTTCTGGAAAAAAGACATTCTGTCTACAGCTTTCAGGACAAAGTCACCCAACATGTTTGCATTGACAAAGTGATCTTGTCCCGGAAAACAGTGCAAAGGCCCTCTTCCTCTGTGCAGGCTGGGTCCCACTTGTCCTGACCATTCGCCATTTCTGACCCAAACTGAGAATTTACCCACAAACTTTCAGAATAAACATCTAGGACTCATTAAAAGTCACACTCTTATTTTACTTTACTCTTAGGGAAATATGTTATCTGGTGAGATGTCCCAGATGAATTCATCCATTCATTTATCTGTTCATCCATCCCAATGTTACTCCATCCATTCTTCTATCCATTCATGTATTCATTGTCAGTCAATATTTGTTTGTTATAAACCCAACTAAACAATAAACTCCATGAGAAAAGGAATTTGTCTATATTGTTCATTATTCTGAGCATCTAATACAGTGCTAAATATCAATTAAAGGGATAAATGAAAGAAAGGTAACCACTTATATTGTACTGTTCACTATGCTCCATCCTAATTTTGCAGAGGCAAATGGGAACAGCTAGGGGAAGTGAAATAAAATATTCTCATTCTGAAATTTACCGAAATATGCTTTGCCCACTTTAAATCCATACCCAATGCCATTAGTAATAACAGCTGACATTTACTATGTACTCTGTGCAAGTCACTCTGCTAAGCATCTTAAAGGATTTATCAAAGCACCGCGCTATTTAATCCTCAGGACGTTCCTATGAGATAGGTCTATTAATAGCAATCCCACTTCTACATGGAGACAGTCAAGTGCACCAGGTTACAGGAGGAAATCTGAGCTGGACAGAAAGTCTTGACGGTAGAACCTCTTTTACCTCCTAAGTTGCACTGAGTCTCCAGTAAAGTTCCAAGCTATTTATGATCTTCCAGCAAAAATACAGGAGGAAAGAAATTGTTAGTGAACTGTCCTGTGATTTGCAGTAAACAGACACACGGGGTATTCTTTGCGCCTGCGTGCTCATGGCCTTCTTAGCATTCATCGCAAGAGAGCATTCATTGGAAGACAGCACGCTTGCACGGCCCTGCGAGATTTACGAGGCATTTTTGGACTGTGTGGCTGATGCAGCGCCTATCGCAGCAATAGAACCCTGAGCGATGTTCTGCCCCGGAGAGAGGAAAGGGTCAAAATCAATCTACCAAAAAGGCCAGTGTAGGATTCAAAACTGGGGACAGCAGAGTCTGGGGCGGACACACCGACAGTGAACACTGACAGTCGGAGGGAGCCCCAGGCCCGGGCACCCGAGTCCGTCCTCCTGCACCTGCGCAGTTGTTCTCCCCACGAGAAGCAAGTTCTTCACTTGCCAAAGATGGTCACCTTTAACACCTAGACCTGACCCAAATATACAGCTGTGTCACCTCCCCCCGCCCCCACCTCTAAAAGCCTCCCAGGGCTTCCTTGCTTGGCAGAGTGCGGAGCAAAAGCTACTTCACAACCTCCCTGAGCCATAAAACTGAGAAATGTCATTGAAACATAGAGTAATAGTTAGGAGACATATAAATACGCAGGACAGTTAGCAAGGAATGTGATAACTACTGGAGTTTGGACCAAAACAGTTTCTGGCTGCCTTTTTTTTTTCTTAAATGGAGTGAATACAGGCTGAAAGAAGACAATTTTTATAAACAAGTAAAACCCTGAGCCTAAGATAAATGTTGTGATGTACACACTGTAGCTGTGATGAACTAGACATGGTGAGAAATGCAACATACTGAGAAAAAGACGAAAACTGTGATAAAAGTGTCATGATGCAAATTGTTTTACATTAACAATATTACACTACAAAGAAAGAAAGACAAATACTTTAATGCAGCAAGCGAAAAATAAAACAAAGGCTTCCCCTGCAACCACAAGATAAGAGTGTCATTTCCAATGTGCATGTCCCCCTGTTCGCTGGGAGATGCATCAAGAGGGACCTCTCAGTGCGTGGGAGCCAGGCAGCCTCAGGCACACACCCATTTCAAGGCTCTTGGGCAGCTGAGAACATTTCCCCCCGCCCCGGGGGAAAGATGCAGCTGTGTCCCCCTGCCTCCGGAACCACTGATCCTTCCATACCAGACTGAGCATCCTGGCTTCTCCAAAGAGAAAGACTCCTGACAGCCCGCTGTATGGCACAGTTTAATCAGTGAAGGGCAGCAGCCAAAGCCAGTGAAAGAAATGCAGGCGCTAATTTAAGGGAGAATTAATGACCAGAAATAATTTAATTGTGCTAATTCAATCCACCAAAATAGGATAATCCCCACTTGCCTATCGATGGAAACAGAAATAAAAAAGGAAATGGATGACTAAGTTAGAAGCCGAATAGTCTGTCACCAGCTCCTAAAAAGGAAGCTTAGAGTGATAAATGGGCAGGGATGCAATGGTGGTGCAGTTGGCACTCTCCCGAGGCTAGAAACTTCCGGAGAGCCCCGCTGCCAGCAACAGCCTGGCAAAGCGAAGTGGGAAGGACTGGACCAGTGGCAATGCCGATCCTCAGCATCTCTGCGAGGAGCTTTTCCTTCAAGCCCCAAGAAGAACCATCTGTAGCTGCTCGTTGGATCATGCTGGTTCTTCAGTTACCTTCCAACAAATAAATCTTTGTATTTTTGAAATAAAAGAGAGAGCTGATAAGAGTGGGGAAGTACTGTGAGAAACAGAAGGTCTAACAATTTTTAAGCTACCCCTTGTGCCATCCAGGAACCAGAAGGACAGTTTGCTTCCCAGGGATAATGGTGGCAGCTGCCATGGTTTTGAAAGCTTACTTCATGGCAGGCTCAGGTGTCTCCTTTAAGCCTTTCAATAACCTCATGAGACAGGTCTGATTGTCGCCGCCACAGATGAGGAAACAGTTCACAGGGATTCAGTAACCTCTCCAAGCGAATAGATGGTGGAAACAGAATTTGAGCACAGGTCAAACTCAAAAGTCCTCACCTCTTAACATCATATTCTAACGTCCCTTTACTTCACAGCCAAATTACTCATCATTACCTGGTAGAAAGAGCAGCCGCTGGTCTAATGGACAACCCATTACTTCAGTGAGAGAGCACCCTCAGTGTACTGACTTGCCCTGCGCGTTCTCCCATCAAAGCCTCATAAATAATATTAAATGAAGCTATTTAAGGAAGCACCATTCATGCCACAACAGAGGCCACAAAAAAATGTTAAGAAAAAATTAATTCAACCCAGCATATCAGATGTTTTGCTAGTTCACATCAATCAAACAACTGTACCAAGGGAACAGTCTCCATCCGCCGACAGGGGGCCCTACCTCAGGCCTCACCCAGCAACACTGGCTTCTTTAAAGATCACACAGCAGTCAACATTTTATCAGCACTCAACAAACAACTTAAGGTTTGGCTTAAATCTGAAGGTCTCTCTCCCTTTGGCATATTCTGGGATAATAGAACAAATGTCAAATCAGTACAAGATGGCATATTTACAAAATTGCACCCTGTTTTGCATAACCTAACGATGCAGCAGTTCTTAAGGATTGAACATTTCAAATCTGCTAGCAGAAGACTGCCAAATCTATGACTGTTTCGTACACTTGCCAAAAGCCTATCAAATTCTGAGCAAAATGCAAAATAAATCTCCTCTACAAGTTAAATCAGTCCCTTCTGTGTGTTCCAGGCTGCCCTCTTCTCTTGGCAACGAGGGCCAGGACTTGGGCCTCATTTCTCTTGCCCTTGATCTGATGCTG